CTAAAGTACCAGAGAGCACAAAAATCGCAGCTCGCCAAAAAATATCGTTTTGCGTCCAAATACTAGAACTGTCTCGATTCATAAAACTTTATCTATTGGCAGCATAATTGGGTTCTTCTCCATTTATTGGTGTAGTAAGAGATTTCTAGCCAAGCGTTTATAGCCGAGTTAAGAACAGCGCTCCAGACGTTTCTTCTTTTCGCAATGTGGCGCCAATTGGAGGTTCCAAGCGAAGCCAGGTCCTTCTCCACTTGGTCCTTCCAACGGAGTGGAGGTCTTCTCCTTCCTCTGCTTCCCCCGGCGGGTGCTGCTTCGAATACTTTCAGAGCTGGAGCATTTTCGTCCATTCGGATAACTTGACCTACCCAGCGTAGCCGCTGTCGCTTAATTCGCTGAGCTATGTCAATGTCGTCGTATGTCTCGTACAGCTCATCGTTGCATCGACTGCGGTATTCGCCGTTGCCACTCTGCAAAAAACCATAAATCTTCCACAAAAACTTTCTCTTGAAAATACGTAACGCCGACTCATCATCTGTTGTCATCGTCCATGCCTCTGCAAAATATAGCGGGAGGGCTTGAGTGACTTGTAGAATTTGGTCAATTTATGACGAGATAAGATTTAACTTCTCAATTGCCTACTAAGTCGGAAGTAGCACATGTTGGCAAGTTGTTGTTTGTTTGTTGAAAGACAGAAGATATTTCGTCTTGCCCCTGTTCACTACCAGACCCATTTGCATCGCCAGCAGCTATACACTTTTATAGATAATGGTATCTTCTCTACTTAGTTCTGCAGCTCGAATTGTTTTCTCCTAGAGTAGTTTGAAAAAGTCGCACGTAGGGGAGTCGTTTTGTCTGAAACCTCTTTTGGTATCGAACGGCTCGGTCATTCACGATCCTGACGGAGCTTTTAGTATTGCTTAACGTCAGTTTACAGAATTAACATTAATTGACATTGACATTTCCAACTACCTGAAGAGATGAGATTACGTCTAGAGAGCCTTGTAAGAGCCGCGGCTCAACAAATGATAATACTTTAATAGCAAACTTGTTGAATTTACCGTTTATTCTAGCTTCTGAATTCGGGGGAAAAAAGAAAACAAGTAAACTTTCAATAATAAATTAAACGGAATATTAAATATATAACAGTATTTTAGTTAACTCCTTCCATTCGCTTAAATATTGATTTGCTTATTTGTTTTGTCAGCACTTCACTGAAACGCGATCTACCTTTATACAACAATTTATCATGCAGTAATTAATTTTTCATTGGTTCTGCAATCTGACCTGCCAAAGTTAGTGTGTTTCTAAAAGAAAACGGTGTTTACAATGTATGTACGCATGTGTGTGTTTAAGCTCCTTTTGGTTGTATTGTTTGGTCTTTTCGGCTCTACTGCGACAAAGCACATTGTTTGGAGAGTGCAAATTGTTTACCATCGTCGTCTCTTTCATTTAGTGTTTGGTTTTACTGCTGTTCTCTGTAACGTCAAATTGCCGCTACGTGTTCGCTTTGTAGTCGGGCCAATATCAAACACATATCCTTACATCACTTACAGGTCTGTGCATGGATGTGTTCATACTTTTGCATGTATGTCCGTCTGTCGAATTTCACATAGCGATTGAGATTTTATTAGTACTAAAATTAATGCCTTTTTTACTGTTGTACATATATTTATGTGAATACTGATATGCTGTGTATGTATGGGGGTTATAGGAATGTAATCTATATCTGTGTAACCCAATTTAGCCGACAATTTGTTTATTTTCGTTGTCTGTTCTGATAGGTATGATATTTGAAAACTGTGTTACTTGCTCGGTAGGCAAAAGATATATATATAGTCAGAAAAATTGATTTAGACTTTGTTTCAGTTGGCGGTTCCGAAAATGTTGTTGTTGTTATTGTAGCGGCACAATTCTGGTGAGTTGACAGTCCTGGGCGGATAAAAATCCGGGTCCGACCTGACTGTCGTGGGCACGGTTACTAAAATGTTCCCACTGCATGCTTCTGAGACATTTAGAAAATATGCTGGTCTCTCATTCAATGAAACAGTTGTCGAATTCGCCGTTGAGGTGCACTAAACCTAGAATTATATATTTGCCATTCGCCGCTCAGCAGGCCAAACATATTTATGGCATAAAAAGTTCTTAAAAAAATATGAATTCAGCTAAAGCTGACTGAAAACCATAAGGGTCAGATTATAATCTAGCCCCATATGCTCTTACATGTGGCCTGAACCACTGTTAGGGATGGGGTTTAACTGCTTCTACTAATTGTGTTCTGACCTTTATTTTCATTCCTTCCAAACTCATAACAAAATAACTGTATGAGTAAGTATCTATTGTAGTTGAGGACGGTTGGGAGAAGAGTTCAGTGAATTTTCGTATTGAGTTATATTGACATTCGTAGTAAAGTTTACAGTTTAATAATTTCACAAAGTTTTTCACTTGGGAACACTTGTCAATTGTGAGTTGAACCCAAAATTTTTCGTTATCAACATTCCTCCAAAATGCCAAACTTTTTGATTTCTTCAGTAGCATAGCCTGTTGCTGTCAAAAGCTCTAACATTTGAATAACACAAACAGCTTTAGTTGCCTTTTTAATTTTCTTCTTCGTGTTTTGTTTCTCCCTTTAGATTTGTCAATGCCATTGTCCTTGAGAGCCTTTGTTGGCGAATGGAAACCAGAGTTTTAGTTACAAAACGACCGACAACAAGTAAAGCGACAACTGTCGCAAATCAATTTATATCAATCATAATTAGGTGTGAAATAACAACATAAACGAAGCCACACACAAACGAGCCGAGCGCATGACTGGTATGAGGTAGAAGAACGGAAAATTAACAAAGTCTTCCAACGCACTTGTCAGCCACTGAATTTGATTAATTGTAACAATAAAGTCGAAACAAATGTTGCGCAGCCAGTAAAGAGTACGAAGTGAATATAGCAACCGAGCAACAAGCATCGCCTGACTGCATACAGATAGGAGACAGAGTGGCAGTGCGCGGACATTTAGAAATTCCATCCTGGCAATTGTTAAATTTGACACGCTCGCAATTGTCACGCGAATTGTCGGCGAACTGAGAACGTTTCACTGTCGCCTATCCTACGGTCCACATGCAGAGCAATTAAACAACAACAATAATAACAAAAACAACAGTAGTAGGGGAACATAGACCGCGAGAAAGAATTGTACAATTAAATTGCATGAATTAGCAGTTTAGAGCAGTGAAAGAGTAATCAACAACCATACATCAGTGCTGACGACCACAACTAAAGCAACAACTATCATAATTACAGCAACCTACATATCAGCACAGAATCACACAGCCACACACAACAACTGGTGGCCCACTGAACTATCTGATTGTCGAACTGCCGCCACAATAGCGGTACTCCCAAAGCAGCTCCGACAGGCCACAGGCATAGAAATCTACACACATTTGGGCGCTCACACACATACAAAGCTAGCATTGCCCGCAAGTGCCAAGCCTGCCGGGATACAAATTCAATATTGTTGCCGTTGTTTGGAGTTTATTAAATTGATTGGCCGTAACTAATTGGACAGTCGAGCCGGGACAAGCGTTCGAAAGCCGACGGCAACCACAGCTATATCAAATCCTAGTAAGCGGGCGTACGAATATAGTCTGAGCAACAAACAACAATTACAACAACACCATCCACATGCAGTTGTGAACATTTTCCATTTTATAGGCACACAACAACACTTTCACGAGTAGTCACACAGGTAATACTAACACAGATCTATTTGCATACACACACACGACACGAAGACAACCTAGGGACATTCACTAGAGAACTACATTGTCATACATACAGACACACACAAGCACCAGCACACAACAACGCACATAGTTTAATGAACACGGCATTTCATACAGTGTTGGGGTATAATTTAATTAGCCAAAATAGCGCAACGTTGGAAGCAACTCAAGCAGCATATACTGAACCAGCCGCAACATAGGCCGGTACAACGCGAAGCGCAGCAGCCGCTGCAGCCGCAACCACAATCACCTAAGCACCCGCTTCAGCAGCAAACACAGCCGCTCCAGCAGGTGCTGCCGAAGCTCCAGGCGCAGCAGGCGCTAGAGCTAGCTACCGCTCCGCAGCAGCAACAACAACAGCAGCAGAGGCAACAGCAGCCAACGCAGGCGTCTCAATCTTCTTGCGTGGCGTCTGCAGCGGCAACAAGGAACGATCCAGCAACATTTGGTCCTATTAATCCAGCAACCACAACAATAACAACGGCAACAACGGCGGCCAGAGTCTTCTCGCGTTACGATAGTCTTGAGGAGCTGCAGCAGCGTACGAGCAGAAGTGGAAGCGCAATCGGAATATTGCCAGTGGTCGCGGCACAGGGTCCACAAGGATCGCGCGGCAGTATAGCAGTTGGAGCTGGGGTTGGCACGGCGGGATTATATGCGTCTGCGGGTGCACGTTTACCAGTAGCAGGCGGTGTTAGCGGAAATAGTGGAAGCGGCAGTGGTGTTGGTGTACGTGGTTCGCGCAGTGGTAGCATAGCACCTGGATTGGATGGTCATCGTGCAGTGCTGAGTACCAGTGGAACGGGCGTGGTATCGCCGGCTGGTCAACAGTTAAGCAGGGGCAGTGTGAATGGCTATTCAACGGCAGCTGCAGCGGTTGGTATTGGTGGTGGTGTTGGCATCGGTGGTGCCGGTGGAGTGAGCGGAGGCAGCGGTTCACAATTAATAGGTAGCACTACCACGACGGCACGAGGGCGTCTTTCAATCAGTTCACCATCGGGCGCTGGTGCAAGCGCATCTACAGCGATACAAGGTGGTGCAGCCACAGCAAATGAATTCTTATTATTAGGCGGTGCTGGTGGTGCAGGCGTTGCTCAAGGAAGTAGTGGTGTTGGTGCTGCAGCAGGTAGCGGAAGTCCCGGGGCTGGCGGTGTTGGTGGAGCAGGTATTCCTAAACGCCAAGGAAGCTTTTCGAATGTTTTCTCGAAATTAATCGACGGAATGCCCGCCGGTACAATGTTCTCTAAATTCAAGAGTGCCAATATGGCACCCACTTCCCTACAAAGTATCACAGATACAAATCCTATTAGTCAGTACTTCGAGATCGGCAAACAAGTGGCCAGTTCAGGCCCGGAATTAGTGTGGCGGATACACGATGGCTACCGCAAAAGTGATGGCAGGGTAAGTGCAAAAATTTAATTTTACCCATGAAGAATATATATGTAGAAAAATTATAGAACTATTTATAAAAATAGTCAGAAATCTTCTGGAAATTTCAAAATCAATATTAACGTTTTCTTTAATTATTTATTCTTTAGGAATGTTCTATATTTGTCTTCGAGAAGAAAATCGCAGAAAAGCTTCATAAACCCCGACGTAAAGAGGCAGTAACAGAACTACTGAGGAACTCTGTAAAGACAATGGAGCGTTTCCGTCACCCCAAAGTAAGTAGATAAATGCCTTTTAATTATAGCATTTCATTGTGTCTTGGATTATTAAGACCCTGACTTGACTCTTTACATATTATTATACTACACTTATTTTTCTTACTTTTTCATAGATTCTACAAGTTATTCACACAGTGGAAGAATCGCCAGATACTTTGGCTTTCGCTTCTGAACCTATTTTTGCTAGTCTCTCTAACATTTTGGCTTTTCATGTAAGTAAACAACTAGATAAGATAGATTAAGATTTCATATTTTTTATGCAAATTAGTTATTCTTTTGACCATTGGTAATGATGAAGCTTCGTTTTAGTCGCACTGTAGACGATTAAGCCTTGCTTGCAATATTTGCAACACGGAACATAAACTGTGCTGCTAATACTATACTCAAGGAGTCTATCCGTTGATTCTAATTTTCGATGACATTTCGGCTGTTAACTGGGAAATGTGAACCGTGATGTTTTATTCCAAGGCTCAAATCGAATAATATTGCCCACATAGACTTTAGATTTCACATATCTCCACTTGAAAACCACGATCTTGGTGGCCAATCAACTGGCTCAGAACGTTAAATTATCTGCTCACTGAAGTGTTCTCTCAATACATCCATTGATTGATGTGATGAGTGAGAAATGGCGCCGTATTGTTGAAACCAAATGTCGTCAAGCATCAAATCGTCGGTTATCATGTCCCGTTATGGTTTTCATTGACGAATACCTTCTTACCGACATCATTTTTGAAGAAATAGGAACCGATGATTCCACCGCCCTACAAACTACACCAAACCGTGTTTTTTGTTTTTTTTGGATGAGATGGCTGCTCTTAAATCTCTTCACGTTGCTTGTCCAAAATGAGGCAGAAACGGGCGTCATCCCTGAACAAAATTTACCTCGAAAACGTCTTATCTTTTTAGAACATTTCAAGAGCCTATTTTGAATGCTTTCAAGTTAAAATCTCGACCTAAAATGTGTCAAGTTTTCACACGTCAGTCCGAGTTGCTGCGAACAGCGCTTAATCGACTCTCCACGGTCTTCATGTACACTCTCAGCTATGGTTGCGATATTTTCTTCACTGCGTACTGAACGAGGTCGAATATTATCCAACAATGAATGCTGGATCTCAAGATGGGTGATGGCGCGACCATCCATTCTTTGCGGAACGTGAATTTTCCTAATAAAGCTGAGCGACTTGTAACCGTTGCTCAGGCGTAAGTCTTTCCACCAATGTAAGTAATGCCAAACAATACTGAACAAAAATAACATGACAGCTTGACATAACTCACACGTGATCTGTCAAAAAAAAAAAATAAATTGAAAAAAGTGCCTCTACTTGCATCACCCTGCCTCTTCTTTGGTTATGTAGCGCATTGGTTTTCAAAAGTCACCTTCACAAAGCTAAAGTTGCATAAACACTCGTATATGCATCACTAAGTACACCTATGCATTTAGGCAGCCGAGCGTGTTCGGCATTTGGTCACGTGCGGCACATTGCGAGAGATAAACTTTTCACATTTCGGCTTATATCGACCACTAATGCTGGGGTGTAGCATCCCTGCTTGCTCGCCCACTGTAAAACACACCACATCTTCTCATCTTCTCTGCTGCTCTTCTGGCCCCCAGCGTATGCTTAACTTGCAACGCCTCGAATATGGTTTCACCTATCAACGGCTGTGTTTGGCGTGAGTGTACATAACTATATGAAGCACAGGTTGCCAAAGCTGCTACTGACACTGTGTCACTTGGCTGCGGCAACGGTAAGGGGCTGGCGAGTATGAGACTCTAAACACACACTTTTCACTGTGGGAAGAGCGCTTGCTGTCTCCCTGCTGGTGGGAGTGCTGTGTGCAGTTTTGCGGAAATTGATACACCGCAGACTGTTTACGCGTCAAGCACTACGCCCCGCTAACCGACCTTTGCATTTGATTACGTGCACCGTTGTCGCATTCATATAAATTTACGTATGTTATATTAAAGGTAGAACTAGTTAGAAAATTCGTTCATAAATGACCAACATCAGTGAATATTAATTGTTCTTATTTGTTATACATAGGAGTAATATGAAGGAATATGAATCGAAAAAAGTTACATTCGTCCGAAGCAGTAATATCACATTTGTCGGAACCACTGATATTAGATCACTATAGCATGTAGCTGTCATACAAACTGTAGGATCGGAATCCAGATTTGTATGGAAAAAATTTGTATTTTACGAATTATCTTTTCGAAATTCGGCATGGGTTATTGTAAAAGGTATGGGTTCAATTGTAGACCAAGTTCTTTAGATAGAATTACTATAGAATATAGTTTCCATACAAACCGGCCAAACAAAACAAGCTCTTTGACCTTTTTTGTGGAAGATAATTGGTTGGACGCGACACTACTAGTTTAGCGAGTAATTGATTAGGTGCCTATGCAAAGCTTATCTAGGCCTACCTCTAAGAGCAACGAAATTTCAGCATTCGCACAGCAATCTGGCTTATATAATATAACGCCTTAATTCAAAAGAGGCTCATAAAAAAGCAGATGCTCATATTCTCCACACTATGTTTTAGTACTTATTTAATATATATATATATATATATATATATATATATATATGTTAACTGTAACTGCAAAGCTATATTATTACATAAGCGCACAGTAAGATATGTAATTCCAATAAAAAATGTTGTTGCAGCATTGTAGACCGCAACTCAGGTGCAAATGCGTTGTGCGATTAAGTTCTTGATCCGAAAAACTATATCACATGACTATTTTGTATAATATTAAAACTGTAACGTTAAAAACTGGATGCATAACTGAAAATACACAAACGAGCAATCATATTTCGTTACATAAATTCCCGGTTTATTGTTTGCAGGAATCGAAAACTTATGAAAATGTGGCCATGCCTTCGAACAGTGGAGCGACGGGCACGCAAAGCACTCAACAGCAGAATACAGCAGGGCCCCAGCGGCCAGCTCATGCGAAGGAGTATAACTTTTTGGATATCGAATTGAAATACGGCTTTCTGCAAGTGAGTTTTGAGCACAAAACAACCTTATTGGCCTATGTGTGTGTATGTGTATGAGCAAACCAATGTAAAAATAATTCGTATAGGCGTAATCGTAAATATGAAACCAATTAATTTGCTACTTTCAGTTGAGCGCACAATTTTAACCAATAAGAAAACAATTGAATTTCACAAATTTTCAATGGAAATCATCGACAGATCTTTCGATTAGTAAATGGAGAATTATGAGAGAATTATGTTCCTAATAATACCTGGTGACTAGGAAATAAAATTTTGTTTTCAAATAAATATTTTACTGTATTCTAAGATATTTTTCCTTGATGAGAGAGAACCATTAAGCTGAATTCTAAACTTTTGCTTTCATTTTGACTGATTTCAAGATGTGCTAATTCATTAAAATTCTTCAATCAATCGCTTCGAATCGGGTTACTGTCTTATTGATCCGCCTTTTTGGCTTACTTTAATATTGAGTACAATTAATTTGTCAAGTGCATTTTCCAAAAGTTTAAAAAAATAGACGACGAAAGTTTTCCAATTTTTCAATTCCCCATAATACTTGCCCACGAGCTCAGTTAATTTCTACAGCGTGCGCGTAATTGCTCGAATTTCGTGAAGCATTCGCACAATGCACTTTTTGCGGTGCAAAAGCAAAATCGCGTAGAGAATTCGACTTGAAAGCAAAACTAGTTATTAAGTTTGGCAAATTTGGCAAGACTGAAACTATCTATTACCAAAGCAAATCTTTTGAACTTTCCACTTGATTTAATTGTGAACTTTAAATATTTGAAAGTTTCAAAGCCAAGTTTTGAACATTTTACATGAGTGCCAGTATATCAATTTCGAGTATTTAGAAGAAAAGCATGTGAAAGAAATGAGTAAATAGTGGCTGCTTGCATACAAACAAGACCATTTGGTGAAAATTATTCAAAATTTATGAAGTATCACTTCAACCACCCTGACAAACTATTCAACTTTACCGTTATACGTGTATTTATATGAATTTATGCACTTGTTTTCTCCTGCAGCTGGTGGAAGCATTATCCTTTTTGCACTACTCGGGCCACGTGATTCATCGAAATGTGTGTCCTTCATCTATATTGGTAACTAAGCGGGGTACGTGGAAATTGGCTGGCCTAGAATTTATTGGTGAGTATTTTTCTTTGCAAAATTATTACTTTTTGGAAAAAACTTTTCTACAACTTCGAATGAATATGGGCCATATGTGTAGCACTCTTACTGCCTGAAATTTAATTGAATCGTTTCTCAGTTATAATACCTAGTAGGAAACGTATATATTATATAAATGATTAGGGTGATGAGAGGAGTCGATTTAGCGATGTCTCTGCATTTATGCGAATTAGTAACGGGTTTCTCAATAGGGAAGCTACAAAAGTAGACTATATATTATATTTTTTCATCTCTTTTGACATTTCACTTTAGTAAGATTTGCTGTTTCATCATGGAGAGATATAAGATCCAACAACGAACCGAAATTATTAAAATTTAATACCGAAATTCAGAGTCAGTATGGTCGTCATAATCGTTCTGTCAGATCAAAAATTGAACTGATCTGGTGGAAAAATTTTAATCCACCAAGTTTGAGAGACAAAGAAGTGTCCGTAGTGTCGMGAATATATCTGCGGTTAGCGCATCAATTGAGGAAGACCTAAATCAGTCTCTCACGCGTCGTTCTCAAGCGTTAGGCATCTCTGTGACGTTATGGAGGCGAATTTCGCAAAAAGACCTTGGCCCACATTCTTACAAGATCAAATTGACGCAAGAACTGAAGCCTCTTGACCATCAGAATTGTCGTATGTTCGTGAATTGGGCTGAGGAACAACTTGAAAACGATCCGGATTACAGTTTGGTGTGGTTTATCTGCCACCGGCGTCATTGGGCCGTACTTCTTCCCGGACGGTACTGTGAATGGGAACCGCTACCGCTCAATGATAATCGAATATTCTTGATCCAAATTGAAAGATATGAACTTGGACAATACGTGGTTCCAACAAGGCGACGCCATAAGCCACACAGCGAATGTCACAATCGATTTATTGACGTTCACGTTTGTTGAACCAAGCACAGTCAATTGGCCTCCTCGTTCGTGCATTTTTAACGGCGTTACACTACGTCTAACCTACGGGCTCTGCCAACAACCCAACGACGATTGATGAACTTCCTTCGAATATCAAACGTAAAATCGCAGAAGTATCGGTCGATTTATGCGTGAAAACCCTCGAAAATTGGGTTCACTGTCTGGACTCCTGCCACGACGTTTTGTTTATCAAAAAAAAAAAATTTAGTAGCGTTTTCTGTGTATGTATTCTATATTGTGAATGTTTTGAAGCTAAACCACTCTGTGATCAAGAAGATATGCTATATATACCTATCTTAAAAAAGAATTATAGAGAATATATAAACGTAATATTAAAAAACCTAAAACATATATCAATAGAACTAACCTTATATGAGCATGTGTATGCATTTTTTTTTATATTTCTAACAGAAAGAATGAATGAGACTGATGTAAATGAGTTAGTTCCTTGTCCGCCTTGGAGTAACAAGGTTTCAAAAATGGCTCAACCTAATCTGGATTTTATGGGTAAGTATAAAGATGGTCCTCTAACCAACTAATACAACTATATGCTGGAAATACATTGTGTTCTTCTGTCGTTGTGTTCTCCTTCTGGTTCCTTGTGAACAATCACCCTGTTCCAAATTAAAATATTTGCATTTTGTGTCTGTTTTCACAGCTCCAGAGACTCAATTAACTTCGAAGGGCAGCCTGCTTAGTGACATGTTCTCATTGGGTTTGGTAATATGTGCGGTTTTCAACAGCGGACGGCCAATCATCCAAGCCGGTAACATAGTTTCGAGTTACATGAAGCAATTGGAGATGGTAAGCAATATATTCATATATTTTATCATATGCAAGTACACTAGCAAGTGAATGAGCAACTCTGTTACTTATAATACTCTTTGTGAATAATAAATGTTCGCTTGTAATTGAGTCAAACAAACAAAAAGTTGCTTATTATTTTTTTGTTTTATTCATATTTTAACACTGAAAAACTCATATACATACATAATCTCACACATTCATAAGCGCCACTCACTTTTGCACCGAACGTGCGGCTTCGCGCAGTGCGCAATGCGCTCTTCGTTAGCTAATGCAAATTCAATAAAAAACTATCTGCGAATCCTAATAAAATTCCGAACTTCATAACTAAAGTTATACTTGCAAGGAAAGCCTTTATGGGTTTACCAGAAATTGAAAATAAATGCACGAGGAAAAAGGAAAATTAAATTTTCAACAATATAAGCGTCTAATTGACTGACGTTAAACTCCTCCATAATGACCAATGGAACTTATTCTAGAAGTATACAAATAGAATATATCATATACTATGTAATACATTACTTGTATTCCAATGTGCTGATTCAGTATCATCCCTGATTAGGGGGGGAAACGCAATGCGATAACGGTTAGTGAGCAGCTGACCAGGATTATTTTCTTCAAAAGGATCCCCTAAACTCTCTCCTTTTTGAGATATTTTTTATTTATATCTTTTCCCTTTTCGATAAATACCATATTTTGTATTATCTTTCAGAAATATGGATGGTCTCTATTTTTAACCGTCCCTCTGAATGAAGTAATTTTCATTGCTGCGCGTGAAAGCGATCCAATGATGACTTAAAATGTACCGTAATGTCAACAATGCTGGCAATAGTTGATTTCTGTGCTAGCCGACTGCTGTTTCACACGTTTACCGACAAAAATTCCTCCCTATTTCTACTATTTCTTCCGCCCTTTTTAGAAGCATTCCATATGAAATGCTTGTATGTGTGTATGTATGTATGCAAATATTCCCCATTCAACTGCCCCAACAACTGCATTTACTGAAATGGTGTGAGGCTTTGAAAGCGCAGAGAAAACAATGGTAAATTGACTCCTTGATGGTAGACTTTTTCTAGTTTTTTTTTTGGTTATGGACCAAGTGTTTGTTCACGAGAAGAGCTTGAATGAAATGGAATAGTGAAATTCTGTGCTGAAGAGTCTTAAACGCAGACTATCAAGTTTAACTTTCAAGTGAACACAAGTATCGGAAGTTTATTCACAAAGTGCTGTTGACATTGATAAAGAACCCGGCGCTTGTGTTAGCAGAGGCATGGAAACTTCTGGCTCATCACAAATGATTGATAAATTGAAATTTTGGGAAATTACCACTTATGTAAAATGAAATTATTATGATTACGAGCCTTGAAAAGTTTAATATAACTTTAAAGTGTGAAGAAACACGATTTTGAAAACAACTTCCAATGAGAAAAGGAAAGCGAGCCCTTTAAGTTTACCGAATTGACTGAATACACTCCCTAAATTTAATTGGAGCGTTACAAAAACTAAAGAAAAGTTAAACCATTAATGTTAAACAATACTTTCAGCTGGAGGAGACTGTGCAGAAAATGTTGCCGCGTGTGCCGGTGCCGCTACAGGAGGCTACCTCTCGTTTGGTTAGTCGAGATCCCACCGCTCGACCGCCTGCGCAACTCTTGCAATTGATTAAATATTTTAGGTAAGTACTACTCTAAAACATATGTATATATTTATATGTGTTCCGATAATTAATAATGAATGCACCAGCATAAATTACAAATTATAAATAATATTTTCCTGGCACATAACCCTACAAATTGAATTTAAATTTAGTCATTTGCATATAAAGTTTTACAAATCGTTAATCCCCGGAATAACCTTGAGAATCGAGGTGCATGCCACCTCTCAAAATGGTTGCTTTTCCTCGGCCTTTTCCGGCAAGGAAGCAAAAAAAAATACAGGGTGGCCACATCTGGGGTGTAGGGCGGCTGCGGAAAAGTTGGGATGCCGGCCTTGGCTTGGTGAGCCGGGGCGTTGGCGCGGTGCAACTTCCAATCGCCTGCGATGTCTTATCGGAGCTTGGTTTGAGTCTATTGACTTTGATTTTGATAAATTTATCATCTTGACAATTAAACGAATATTTCGTCGGTGGTCTGTGTTCAAAATCACACGAGTCACATTGTCGGCGTTTCTCGAAGTCGCAGGTCTCCCAGCACGGTTTTCATAAGCGACCTCTTCCCAGCCCTCCAAAAAGATCTGGTTCCATTGAAACACACCACTTCTTGCTAAAGCAACATCGTGGTAATCCTGTTTGATCATATCAAATATTTATGTCGCTGATTTACCGAGCTTCACACAGAATTTAATCGCGTACCTCTGCTCTAACGAACGCTGCATTTTCGGCTTACACCACTCACAGAAACACGTCGCGCGAAAATGTTTGTTCTGTTTGTTGGTCGTTCGTTAGCAAGGAACGCTCTCTACTGAATCCAGTTGGTGGCGCACACTCCGAATTACAGTCGCGGCGGAAGAAAATCAGTCCTTATACGTTCTGGACAAACCCTGTATGTACGTATACATTTACTTTAATAGATCGTTTCAAGTGAGGCTTTAAATTAGTTACGTATGTACGTAGAGAAAAATTATGAGGTTCGGGGAGCGAAATTGTTCAAATTCTTGGAATGTCAAACGTTCAGAATTTTTGCTGAGGAATGAAAGTGTTCTCAGGCATTTACCTCCCATCACTTTCCCCCAAGATTGTCGCCATTATTTGTGCAGTGTGACACGTTTTCTCAGCTTTCTCGGAAACAATTGACCCCGCGCGACAGAATAACGTAGGCGCTACCCTCGTAAGAGATTTATTTGTAAAAAATAACACAAAGCAAAAAAATACTGTATGCGTAGCTGTTGTGTGAGTCTGCAACTCGCGCCATTAGTTGGGGAGAAGTGCTTTTCAATGCGTACTATACATATAGTAGGTAATGTAGGAGTGTGTATCGTTGTGGTTTGTTTAACTTAACCTTATGCTGATTGACAAGTGTTGCGCCATTCTGAGATTGCGATTTATTGAGACATAATCTCGCACACACACGCGCACACTAAATATTTAATACTTGTGGAAAATAACACAGTCGGGGATAATGGAGCGAGCGCGCTAGCATAGGAAAGTACAACAGAATACAAAGGTGTAAATTACAGTTTTCCTGTAGTTGATGGCCCTCATTGCGAAGCTTGATGTAGTCTACTGACTTGGATTTGCTTTAAGTTTTGTTTTGCACTTCTGGAAGCTTGATATCGCGCGTGGCTGTTTGCTCGTTCATAGCCCCACTTTTTGTAATGAGTGTGGCAGAGACATTGACGCATCCGCCGCTGTTGGCTGTGTCTAGACTAAAGGATGCTGATAGACATAAAAATACTAGACGCACATTAAGGCGATTTGCTGGATGAGGAATGCTCGACATTCCTGATCTGCAGGGTTGCAATTATCAATGAAAATAAGTTTAATGTTGAGATGGTGTTAGATAAATCGCAGATTATTGTGAGATAGTTCAATAAATTTATAAGTTTGTGTAGAAAAGAGTATAATCAAGGTTTTAAAGAGGAACGTATAGTTTATCCTTGCCCAGCGAGTTTAGCTCAAATTGGATAACCGATAATCCCAAACATTTGTTGTTTTTTTGATATAAGAGAAACATGTTGTGAAATTATGTTAATATACAAAAACAATTAGTAGATACTATACCGTCATCTAAAATGCAAAATAACGTAACATCATTTTTCGTAAGTTTACAGACGAAGGAAAAACGATATAATAGAAACCAGTAGCATTAAGTAAAATTAAGTTTTAGTTATAAAATGGTTATATAGTCGTTATATAAGGGTTATACATTGGTTATATATGGGTTATATAATGGTTATATAAGGGTTATATATTGGTTATATATTGGCTAAATATGGGTTCAATATAGGTTATTTATGAAAGCGAAAGCCGAATATGGACTTATTTATGCTTCGAACCAGTTTTATCTGTGACTACGACATGTTTTTAATATTCTTAGACTGAAATTACTAAACATTCTTTATTCGCCATCTTAGACAGACGTTAAATTTGTCAAGTTGCTTAACTTCTCTAAAATCCAATTTCAAGTTCCTATATTCACTTAAGAGCCAATCCTTCAATCCAGGCATCTTGGTCGGCACTTAAGAATAATTATGATTTCAGTGCAAAGGAGGCAAACTTACTGAAGGAATTTAAATCTCAGCAACATGTGCTGGTGTGCAACACTACTTTCTGTGAATGTCGACGGCCAGTCACGTAAATGGGTATAACCACGAAAGAGGGCGAGTAAAAGGTGGAATAATGCGTCCGAAGTGAGCGGCAAGAGCAAAGTATAAATTGAAACTCGTAAGCTAGCAAATATTTGCGCTTTCCATTCTGCTGGAGATTAAACCACTTTAAAGATAATTTAAATGTTGTCAACAATTCTTTTATTCCTTATTTCTATCTTGTTGAAACGAGATCCACACTGTTTACACAGGTTAAGTACATTACCCGCAAGGCTTAAATGTAGTTTGTTTGGTTGTCTGCTTGGATGAAGCAGTGGAAGCGACGCTCACACACCAACGCTATGGTGATACAGACTTACAGTTGTATAGGCTTATGTAGCCTTGCACGGCCAGACAGTTTGTTTGCCTTCGAAAAGAAGTAAAGCGTGTTTAGAGAATTTTTTTCAAATTTGCACCGTTCCACATTGAAAATATAACTTCTGGAGGGTAGTGCTGAAGTTGAATGCTTAAAAAACTTTCTATTTCAATTAAAAACAAACCAAATGGGGCGGAAAATTTCTGCCTATCGGTTGGAATTTGATCTGTTTAACTGTTAATAAACTTTAATGTTAATGACTGCGTCGCTCAGTATTGTTATTAGAAATTTCATTCATAAATTAGTTGTGTAAACATCAAACATACTTACACACATATATAATTACATACGTACGCTTGAACTTTCAGTGATCCCGGTGTTAATGCGCTCAAGTTCTTAGATGTGGTCAACATGAAGGACACATCGCAGAAATCTCACTTCTACAAAAACACGCTAATGGAAGCGATGCCGCTGATACCGAGAGTAAGTAGCCAGCACACACTTACTCACTTTATGCTTATGTACTCCCCGGAAAAACTTACGTTAAAGCATTGTGTACTTCGAGAATATTTTACAGCAGCAAGCCCTTTGATGGGAACAAGTAATATTCAGGGTTTTCACATAATTTGAGTGTAAAGAAAACAAAAAAGCAAAAACAGAAACAAAAATTTAATGCAACAGCTGACTATGCAGTAAACATCAAAGCACCGCCACGAAACTTGCTCTGCAAATGTGTGCATTCTACATGTAAGTGTCTCTAGTTTGGCAACGGCTGTGCGTGTCTAAGCGCTGCACGGCGTCAGGTGCGCGCTTAATGGCTAAATAAAATTAAGACACATTTATGAGACAGCAATTGCTTGGCACATAAAAGGACCTGTTGCCGCGTGCCCCTGTGCTCTACTTAGGGTGTGTTTGCAACTGCTTCTACTTAATCGTAATGTTTTGTCTACTGTTGTTTGCCTTTTATGACTTGCTAATTTCACCCAAAGCTTTGGCAAACAAAAACCGTAAAATATGAAAAATATATTATTTTTATGTATGAGAGAGATTTTACGCTGAACCAACATTCCATTATGCCCAACAATTAACGTTTTATTGCAGAAATTGTGGTGGCAAAATGTGTGGCCAATGCTGCAGGCCGAAATTAGCAATGGCGAAGTACTGGCAGCGGTTTTGCAGCCCGTCATTAAACTTATACAGGAGGCATCGCCAGGCGAATACGAGTCCATTATGGCGCCAACGATGAAGTAAGTGTTAAGCTTTTGCTTTCAAATAATTTTTGTTTATTGAAATTAAATGCCTTTTATTAGTTTACAACATTTTTTAAACAGAGTTATAACTATATTTACCGCGTTTCCTGTGAAGTGCTTTATTTTTCGTAATTAAAATTTTTTTACCAATAAATATAATAATAGAATTCAATCTGTCGAATACACGTATCTGTTATTATATTCGAGCAGTAAATTATCTAGTCCCACTTGTTCCACCGCTTTGAGTCATCAGCCACTTCCGTTTGTACTCAAGTTGTTTTTATTAGGTTACCAATAACAGTGCTCAGCGCATTTCATTGGGTCCGGTTCATGCCACCGCAAGTAGAATCCAAATAGACACGGAACATTACCGCCGGCACTATACTTATTTTATTTGCCTTCTAATTTCATGTATGTATTGTTTTTGTTTCTCATCTTCGCTCGTCACAATTCACTTGTGCTTATTTTCACCGTTTCGTGTTCTTGTTCTTGATTTGTTGACTCTCGTCCGTGTTCGACATGTCGCCCATTGTCGTCGTTGCGATAAAAGCTGTTTGCACAATTTAAGTTCGTCAGTTTGTTGCGCGAAAGTCGCAATGTCCTTGTGTGTTCGCTGTAAAATGTATCCTCTTATTGGAGCTTTACATTTTTCTCGCTATTTAGTGCCACAATAAACCATACAACAAACATACAAACATATGCACATGCTCGCGCCAAGACGAATGAGAACTTTTGCCATATTCCATGCGCTCGTTAAACACAAGTCAAACGAAATTTTGTTTTTTATTTTGTTTTGCTTATGAAACGCCTGCGCGGCATGAATCCTAGCAACACTTTAAAAAAGTGCTTTTACCTACAACTACGAAATTTTAATAAGACAAAATAATTGAAAAAGTCATTTACTTTATAGATGAATTGCTTTGCCAAACTTTTTTGCAGGGTAATTTTCGGGTCGCCCAAGTCCATACAAGCCACTGTGACCTTGTTGGAAAATTTACACCTTATTATAGAGAAGACCGCTCCGGGCGATGTCACCACCGACATTATTCCAATGCTGTTTTTTGCTTTCGAAAGCTCAACGATACAGGTGCAGGTAAGGAGTAAGAATTCATTTAAAATTTATTTTAAAATTTCAAGCTACTTGTTATATATAAACTGCATGCCGCATGAGATTTTATAAGGTTTAAGAAAACATTATTTTCGAAATTCGAAATTTTTACGAGTTCTATTTATGCATTCTCATTTTGATGCTCCGCTTCCAGAGCGCTGCTGTTGTGGCAGTTACAAATGTTTTCGACAATATCGAAGATGTTTCCATCAGACGCATGGTGATTCCAAAGGTGAAATCTGTGTTCGAAAAAAATTTAGCGGATCCTAAAATTGTGCAAAACGTACTTATCTGCATAGAGGGGCTCATGGACAAACTGGAGCGTGCTCAGGTGATTCAACTTGTATATTTTGTGTATATGATCAGTACTTTCGCTATGAAATGCAGAACATAGTACTTCCACACAACCTGCGCTTTTTCTAAATTCGTAAATATATATTTTTACATTTTTCATATCAAAACATGCTTCTCAAGGTTATGGAAGAAGTGCTGCAGCTGCTAGGAGATGTCCGCATACCGGAACCGGATATAGTGATGCGTACAGTGCGTAAGTATTTGATTCAGTGTTGATAATCAGGTTTTATCAGGCACAAGGCAATTATGGGAATTAGTTCTGTTCCACTGTAACACTTTATTGAATTTATAAGTGCTGCAATTATGCTTAAATTTAAATTCCAGAAAAGTACACAAATAAGTTAGTGTGATCTGGTTGGTAAAAATAACCTTAAATTTATAATATGATGACCTCAAGAAAGCTCCAGTCTCAAAACACTTTCAACAGCACACTTTTCGTGTCGGTTGTATTATCAGCGTAGAATAACTGTATTTTTGTTTGCATCCGTACCATACATATTACTTGTTTCTGTCTCCTAAATTTATTTCTTGAAAAATAAATTGTACAAAAACTGTTTAATTGCTTGCAGATATATATCATAAAATGGTTGTCGATAAAACATATGGTCTGACGGTGGAGACAATGGCTACGCATGTGCTTCCACTATTGATACCACACACCGTTAATCCGGGTCTGAATCTGGAACAATATTGCATGCTGGTGGAGGTAAAATGATACTAACTGATACCTGTGCATATATAGATTAATGTAGGTACTTATATTACATACAGTTGCATCCGTAAATATACATATTTATGTAAAAATACTTCAAAATAACTTTTTTTTTTCAATATTTAAAAACCCTATCCTCATTCAAAAGTACCGCATACACTGTGGCCAAAGAATAGTAAGACTTTTTAGTTTAAATTCCGTGTGAAAACGCATTCGTCGTGCTATTTTTTTTTTTTTAAGTTTTCATAACTGTCAGCGACATCTGTACCAAATGTCAATTCAAAATAATCATTAGTATACGCTTAGCTTTCTGAAGTACATAAAATACATTCGGCGATTTTAACGATGAGTTAAATTAATCAACAAAGAAGTTTCATTAACTTTTGTGTGCAGAATCAAATTTCTGGTGCTGAAACCTTCCAAATGTTGGCAAAAGCCTTCGGTAATAATTGTTTGTCACTAAAAACTTTTTCGATTGGCATAAATTATTGAAAGAGCGTCGAGGACGCGTTGACGGCAAACCACGTCCACGATGGACATCAACAACAAGTGAAAATTTGTGATATATAAAAAGTAAATCAGTTCGAAAGATCCCTTGGGCCTAACAGAAGTGAAAGAATTACTGCTTCCGAAAGTTTTTCTAAACCCATCGTTGCGTTAACGTCTGTGAACACTCCTTTCCGACTACGAGGATGTACGACCTGGAAACATAATATTAATCGGTCGAAGATCGTAGGAAAGGTGAGCCGAAGCTTAAAACATCACGCTAAGCAGATCAAAAAACAAGGTTATGATTGCAGTTTTCTTCGATTATCGAGGTGTGGTGCACTCCGAATTATAGTCGGATTATAGACACAGATTTTTAAAAATAAACTAAAAATTTTAAAATTATGAACAAAGTCTTACAATTTTTTGCTCATAGGGGTACATATATCATTTATCACAGCCCCCCCTGCAGTCAAATCAAAAAGTTCAGCTGTTTTAAAACTAGTTAGAAACAGCAGTCCAAGTCGGATTAAAAGTCGGATATAAAGCTAACAAGCGAAATAGTTTTGAAGCTAAATCATTTATTTGAAATTAATATTCGTTTTACTCTCGGTGGGAATAAATAAATAAATATTCTAAAATAAATATATTCTAACATTAATAAATCGATCTGATGTTGTTCTGGCTAGTTGGATTTCTCTAAGAGTTCCAGTGTACATTTTTAGACTAGTTTGTTGCTTGACTGCAGGACACATCGGTGCATAAATTAGTCGTTGTTAGTGTGACAGCTCATTCTCAAATGCAAACACATGCAATGCTCTCAATTCCAACAGGTGTTGCAAGAGATGCTCGAACAAATTGACCGTCAGCAACGTAATAAATTGAAACTGGACAATCTGTCAATACCATCACCGGAGCGCCATCGTCCACTGCGACATCAATTCTCATCGGATAACATGAATGCCCCTCCATTCAATATACCCAATTTGCGTATCGATCAGCGGAAAACATCCAGTGCAGAGGATATGGCACGCAAGAATTCTGGAGGTACATACACATATAACAATCGTTTATTTTCACTCACATCAACACTATACATGCACACATTATATGTATCAGCTGACATGCACGTGTTTGACCACATACCGACAGGTGTGCAGGAATTTGTCGGCGCGCTTGAAAGTTTGCAATTATAGTTATTCACGGGAACAATGTCGTTATGAATGATATCAATGAATATGTCGACGTTGGTAGAATAAGTGTGGTTCCAGTTGACCAAGCAAAAAACCTAATATCTACAAATACCATATTTGAATGCAGATGATACTACGAAATAGTATAACGGCAGAGAGAAATCACCGCTTCCGAAAACGCAGGGGGTGGTAGTTGAGAAAAGGGGATCTTGTCTTGATAGACAATCACCATTTTGTATTGAGGGAGTAAGCTAAAAGTCGGCTTGGACAAAAGTCACTGGAATCACCTGAATACATTGAAATTGTAAATACTCTTATTAACCTTCAAGCATTTTGAAATGACAGTTTATTGAAGACTGAAAGCCGCAAATTCCGAATAACCACCATGAATGCGTTTCTAACTTTACACATAATAATAACCAGTACATATCACAATTTTATTTCGTTGACGCGTTTACATACAACTTAAAAGTTGGAATTTAATTTCACTTGAATGCTTTCAATGAGTACTTAGCTACTTTCATGACTTCGTATTTGCATACATATATTTGGCTTAAGAATTTTGTACCAACTTGGAAACAAAGAATACGTCCGCGTTTGCTGAGCAAAAAACAAATTAAGCGCCTAAAGCCCCAAAAAGTTTTTAGGAAAAAGCGGTAACACCAGTGCAATTTGTTCCAGCTTATTATGCCCTTTTAGAAAGTTTTCATTGTATTCGTAAGTAAGGAGGGGTTGAATTCGAGTGCAACCCAAGGAAAATATTTTGAGGAAACTCAGTAATACAAATAACGATATTCTTCATACTTTACATATCAGTGCTGTGGGAAATATTTTCACTTAATTGCATATAGATATCGTATTTCCAAATTATTTCAAGACATCTTACTTATTTTAAGAAAAAAACACAGAAACTTCAAATCTAAAGGGGAATGCTTATTATCATTCAAAATAAATTTTTTTGATATATGGTTTTTGAAGACTAATGGTAACTGGCGAATGATACGCGTGTTGTTTCGCTGCAAGACCTGAATCGAAGCGAGGCTGTCTACATAGACTTTAGACTTTACATATCCCTACAGAAAAAAGAGTAACGGTGTGAGGCCAATCGACCGGTCCAAAATCTGAACTTATCCGCTCATCGAAGTTTTCTCTCAATAAATCCATTGGTTAATGCAATGTGTGGGAAGTGGCGCCACACAGTGTTGGAATCAAATGTCGCTGAAATCACGAAACTCAATTTCTGGATGAAACTTTTCAACTTGCTCTTCGTCTCAAATTCGGCAATTTTGCTTATTTACCCATTGAGCCAGACATTCATTATCGCTCAACAAAATTTGGGTCGACAATGTCGGATCTTCTAGGAACTTTCATCTGCTATATTTTGTATGCTTTCAATTTATAAGGTCGACGTAAAATAAGCCAAGTCCTTACATACGTCAGTCCGAGTTGTTGCGAAAGGCGCCGAATCGGCTCTCCACGATTTTTGTGTACACTCTCAGCTGCGCCTACTATATTTTCTTTACTGCCTGCTGGACATGGTCTATTCAGTCGAATGTTATTCAATAATGAGCGTTGGATCTGAAGAAGGGTGAACACATTCTTTACAGAACTTGAATTTTCGTAATAAAGTAGAACGATTTGTAAACGTAGTTCGGGCGTAAATCTTTCAAGGATGAAATTCCAAACAATACTGAACAAAGATAATATGACAGCTTTACATGACTCATGCGTGCTCTGTCAACTAAGGCTACTGAGAAAAGTACATCTGCTTGGATCAGCCGGAGACATATGTTCCTTCAAACTTAATAGTTTTTTATCTTACCGGCTTAATCAAGGCATTGCAATAGGAATTCAGCTCGCATTGCGAACAACTGTTAGGTGAACAAGTCTATTCTATTCTTTGCAACATGTTGCGGGAGTGTAAAAATGAAACGTCACAGAAAGTTCTGGAATAATAAAAAAACAGATTTACTTATTTTTCACCTAAAAATAAAAAATAAATAACCTTCAACACGTTTGACATGAGTTGCATTCAACATAACCCTTAGTATTAAATGTACAACAAAATGGTCACCAGAAAATGAATCAGTACTTGGCCCGTTTAAATTTTTCACACGATATGAATTCCAAACTTTGTCGACATTACGGCGAAGTGACCTATAGAATTATGTGTCAGAGTTTTAACATAGACCTCATGTACCTAAGAGAGACGAACGTAGATTTTTGTGCTCAAAAACGTACTTTATGTATGTTAACGTACATATGTATATACTTCTATATAACTATTTATTAAAGTGAGTAATTGTTCGTTGGTTGGCAGTTAAATAGCCAATAATAACATTGGAGCCAATGCGGTTTGACTTTGCAAATAAATCAATTTCGAAGGCCGCGTAGCATAACGAGGACACCGATTCTCTCATGGCCGAAGGCAGTGCACGTACGCAGCTGAGCCAGCTGCAGTACCACTTGTCCAAAGCCCTAATTGAATATCTTTCAATGCCCTCGGGGGGCAATTAACAGCCTAGCTAGCACTAATCCCGGTACATACTTCGTTAATCCTGGAACCGTACCCCTTGCGTATCTATACCTTATATGTACTCTATCCATAATAGCACGCAATGAAGCTGGGTTGAAGTTAATAACAAATAATTAAAATGTTGATGTTTATTTTACCTGAAAAGCTCTTTAAAAGACGACGAGGCTGCCATAGGAGGACCATATAATATGTGGTCCATGGTTGCAACCTTTTTAATTATTTTTTGATGTAATCTCATATACTCATTCAGGAATTCAAAACCACGTCCTTGTACATCACAGAACTTACAAAAAATATATACACGCTCATTTTTACACACACGCCAATGAATATACATATGTATGTATACACTTGTATGTAGAAAGTGGCCGCAGCCGACATGGGCAATGTGTTGTTTTGAATATTTTTAATTTTTGCAGTTCGCTTATTTACAGGTTCAGGTATGCTGGGCGGCTGGTGGTTCGGCTGCTCGCCGTCATCACCCGATAGTAATTTCCTGCGCGTGGCTAATGCATTCCCCAACCGACGACTGTCGGACAACACCTTGATGACGCCGAAAATACGCATTGCACCATCGTGCGCCTCCTCGCCAGGTGGCACACCGGGCAGCGGGCTGCCAACACGCCGACACTCGAGCATCGGACCACAGGAACGACGCGGCTCGACAATCAATCTGTCGCCGCCTACTGTAAGTGGCCGCCCTCCTCTCAACACATCCATCACTTATTCATACCACAGCGTGTGCGTCGACTTAGTTGTGCGCCCGCTGATTTATTCTTTGGTTATGTTGGTTGATTTCAGCTTTTAATTCCTTTTCCTTATTTCCTTGTTTTTTTTTTTTTTTGTTGGCATTTATTTTAAGGAAGCTTCACTGACTTCATTATTCTGATTATTCTGTATAAATAAGTAGTTGTGGGTGGGGCGGGAGTGCGCTATGTTACTTTTGCTGTGATTAATCAAAAATAGTACAAATAATTACTTAAATATGTTGTAGTGAAATTATAGTTTCTGAAGTAATTCGATAACTTTATACTTACAAATACAATGATACATCAATAGTTCCATTTTAATTGCGAAGTAAAATCAGTTTGTACAAAACATTATATGCCAATGCTTTACTATCGCATAGCTGAATTGTTTATACTATAGTGAATCAAATATTTTCGTTTGTAATTCTGCAGCTATATTTCTCTCTTTCAGTGAAGATATTTAGTTTGTCTATTTATAAAAAAAAAAAAAAAAAAATGAATTTAACCAAATTTGTCATAAAAAATTGAAATTCGGAACTCTTTTTCTCATTTCCTTACCACTGTTTACATTTCATCACATAACAACAACAACTACTTAACATTGTAATAATGACAAACGGTAATTGGTAAATGGTAAATACCCCTCTACACTTCCTCCTCAAATAGACGTATGGTTTTGGTGCACGCGGTAGCTCCGGATCGAGTTTGTCGGTACCCTCCTCGTCGGCCTATGTTGTAAGTCTAAAAAACGTCTCAACAATTATTGCCATTCAGAAGTCAACTCAGGTATCTTGTGCGAGTACGGTGCGATGTTCGATTCGCATATAATAACGGTTATAAAAAATGTTAAAGCATTAAGCATTGGCGCTTTGTTTTGTGATGTGTGAACTGCTGAGCACATGTGTAATTGTTCGTTCGTTACGTTCGTTTCATGCCATTTTGCAAGCTCGTACTCGCCTACGCACGCTCGTCAAATGATAACCAGCTGTATCGTATACGTTGATAAATATTTTCTCTTTCTTATTTCGATACTCGTAAGCTCAAGAAGTATTAACTGTCCATGAAAGCTGTTTTAATTACCATTAGGAATGAAGTAATTAATATGGATGCGGTGAAGTTGTAAACTAGCTATGTACCCACTAGGAAAGATGCCTTACGAGCCAATAATAAAAACTGATTTGAAGTTTGGAATATTTTCCAAAGACTTCACTGTTATCTCGTTAATTGCTTCATTGAAGCCTACACACAAATTTATTCTACTTAAGCAGTTATTTTCGTTGTTTTCATAATTATTTTGTGACGTATATTTTGCATTTTGCTGTTGATAATGTGTTTCAAAATAATCGACGGTACTGTACTCGAGAAAAAGGCTGCCTACTTATAATTTCAAATATTAATATTTTCACAATTAAAAGATGTTGTAATTACGAATGTGTTTATATGTTATCTTTGGTATATTTTGTTATTGATTTTTAGGCAACTAACTATTACCGTATACAAGGAAGTGGTAAGAAATGCAAAGTATTATCTTATTTAGAAAAAAAATCCCTTTGTTAAGGGGTTATATACAGTTAGAAGGCCGAAAAACCCGAATTTGACACAAGTTTTTCTGAGGAAACTTTTACACTTTTTTTTTGTACAATACTTTTATGATATATTTTTTTTAAGACTTAGTATAAGTAAAAATATATATTTGGAAATGAACTGCAGCTGATCTCCGGGAGGTCCACTAAAAAAAGACGTTTTGCGGTGACTACTATAGCTCTGAACTAGAAAAAATCAACAGATTTCGTTAAAGTAATGTTAAATTGAAGAAATAAGCTAAATAAAATTGTTTGACAAAATGACGGTTAAGCAAAAAAAAAAAAAAAATAGAAAATAAAAAAATCATTAACTTCGACTGCACCGAAGCTAACATTTGGTGCATTTTTTTTTTAGTAACTATGTGTTCAGTTTATATGGAAGCTATATGCTATAGTAATCCGATTGGAACAGTCTTTTCGGAGATTATGTTACCTTAAGCAGTAATCCAAGTCAAATTTCGTGGAGATACCACGTCAAATTCGAAATGCTATAGTGAGTCGATCTGAACAACTTCTTTCCATATTACTTTATTTCTATAAACATTAATTCATACCAAACTTCGTGATGATATATCGTCAATGAGGAAGTTTGCCTTGCAAGCATTTGATTCCGATCATTCAGTTTGTGCAATTTCTTCAGAGTATATGTAGTTGCCTTAGAAAATAATCTATACGAAATTTCGTGAATATATTTTGTCAAATGCAATGGAAGTTTTCCATTCCAGCACTATATTCCGATCGCTCAGTTTATATAGCAGCTATGTACAATAGTAAGCCGATCTGAACAATTTCTTCATATATTACATTATTATCTTAGAAAATAACCTGTGTCAACTTTTGTGAAGATTTTTCATACAAACACTTGATTCCGATCGTTCAGTTTGTATGGCAGCTTATTTAAGAGAAAATCACGCTTGCAAAATTTCAAAACGATATCTTAAAAACTGAGGGACTATATATACAGACAGACGGACGGACAGATAGACAGGCGGACATGGCTAAATCGACTCAGCTGAACATACTGATCATTTATATATACATATACTTTGTAAGATCTCCGACGCTTCCTTCTGGGTGTTACAAACTTCGTACCAAACTTACCCTGTTCAGGGTATAAAAAATCGATTTTTGACCAAAATTTTTGCCTTAAATTATAAAAAAAAAAATATTTATCGGTGAGAAAAATTTTTTGATTATTTACTCAAAAATATGTTTGAGATGCTCGTGTTAAAATTTGAGACTAATTGGTTTAGCCGTTTTCAAGTACTGTTGGCCACTTTGAAAACATCCTTTTGAGAAAAATGCGTTTAAAGTTTGGAATAAATGTGTGTAACTTCGAATATATTCGCCGGAATGCTGTGAAATTTTCTGTGTGTATTCTTAAATAACGGGGTTTTCAATAAGAGCGCTACAAAAGTTTAAATAAAACAAAACCGGTTAGGCATGTTCCTAAAATTATTTATTCCTGTGAAAGTAAATTCGATGCCATTGTGTATGGAATTAGATTTCTTTTGTATATCCACCACGGGCACACTTGCGGAAGTCCAGACGCTGAAGCCAATTTTCTACGATTTTCTAGCATAAATCGGGCGATACTGTTGCAATTTCATGTTCGATAATCGTACGAAGTTCATCAAACGTAGCTAGCTTGTTGGTGTAAACCATAGACTTGAGATAGCCCCACAGGAAATAGTCTAACGGCGACAAATCGCACTACTGAGGCGGCCAATTGACTGGACCATTTCGTCAGATATTACGTTCACCAAACTCAAATTTGGTTTTCAATAAATCGTTTGTGACATTCATTGTGTGGCTTGTGGCGCCGTCCTCTTAGAACCACATACTGACCTAGCTCATATCATCCAATTTGGGCCAAAAATATTCGGATATCATTGAGCGGTAGCGATTTCCATTCGCTGTAACGTGCCGGTCTTGTTCATCACGGAAGAAGTACGTCCCAATGACTCCGCTGGCCCATAAACCGCTCTTAAAGTTGAGGCCACTGACTCCGAATTTCAGTAGAAAATTTTATTGATTTTGACTCGTTGTTAGATCGTATATTTTGCCCTGATGAAATGGCAAACATTACTGTAGAGAAATGTCAAAAGGGCGGATAAAATTTGACGTCGTTTGACTTTTATTGCGTCTTTATTGAAACGCTATTTATATGTACATTAAGATAATAAAATTAAAAAAACGATGTTTTGAACATTTTAACTGTATATACCCCTTAAATGGCTACGAACCGGACATTAGGGCGATAAACGAAAACTAAAATTTATGATACTGTTATTATTATTATTTTTATATTTCGATTGGCAAGTATTTTAAAACATGTTAATTTCTCTATCTAAATGATATGACTAATCATAAATACTTTATTTCACACCCACAAAATTTGATTTATATCTAAATATTTAAATTTATGTCAATGGTATTAAAAGAAAAAAGAAAAAAAGAGGATTATTTAGAAAAATATTTTGAGGTGAAAATAGCATTAACGGATATACAAAATTTGTAGAACGGAGATGAATTTAGTCACGCAAAAATCGTGAGTTAAAAATACGTTACAGCGAAAATAGAGTGTGGAGAACAAACTGTCAATTGTTGCTACCAGAAAGAGAGTTAGTTTTGGTTTTTATTGTCCTTTTGATAATATAACTGTTTTTTTATTAAATCGTTTTAAGTCTCAGTGTGATATCATGTTAAGATGTTTTAGGTTTCTTGATTTCGATGTTATAAGTTTGTGTGAATTGACTATAATGACTTCTTGTATTTTCAACAAAAGAGAGAGAGCGACAGCCTAAACGTTCAATATCTATTTGAGTGTTCTTTAAATTTTCATGTTCAGGTTAAATTCGCAGCAAATAATCTCTGTGCGCGTGCAAAATACTGCATTTTCCCATTTACGTACTTATTCTGAGTGTTCACCAGCGAGAGCTTCACTAAAATTCTCACCTACAAACATATATACATACACATTTTCGCCACGTGTGTCTATCTCAGTGGGTATAATTTCATTAATTCATTTATATGATTTCGTATATTCGTTAAAATTTCATTTCGTATTAGTGTTTTTTGTTTTTGTTCTTGTGTAACGTCCCAACTCTAAGCCAATTCTCTACAAATGTGTGCATTCCATTGTTTATCGAAATATATTTTTTATTTCATTTACTTTCGGTTAATTGGAAATTATTGCAGCTTGCACGGAGCATGATCGTGAGTACACGTTTTCGCTATGACTTTGCGACATACATACATATGTACATATGTACACATATTACTTATATGTATTTAAGTAACCACACGCTACCTCCACTATATACTCACACGCAAGAGTTTGCTTTCAAATGTCCTTTGTTACTCCAAAATGCAAACACTACGCTATGCTTACTGTAAACTTTCCATTTACATGCATTCATATGGGTTCGCGAAAACTCGCTCGCGAGCAATGTCCAGTGAACATACGTAGTACCTTCGGTAGCGAAAAGCTTTCACCGGCTGATATTCGCCCGCATTCGAACGAGATTCACTCGATTTTGCTCGCAAGCATTGAGTAGTTGCGTACCCTGATCCACAGCACACCTATATAGTTACATAAATACTAATGTTAACAAGGTTTGTTGAGTTGATGATTGTTTTGCGTTGGTTTGTCGTATTCTATATTTCAATTTACTCGTACATACTACTACTACTACTACCGGCACTAATAACGATATTACTCCTATTATATAACCGAATATACTCTACATATTTACACGAAATAATTCTGCGTTTCTTGCTTTGCTTCTGTTCCTCTGATTTTTGATTTGTGGTATTGTCATTTCTGTATTAAAATGTTAATTTGTGTAATTGATTGTTTGGTTTGTTGCCTAAACGGTTCGTAATTTACTTTATTATGATTGTTCAACAGCTTCAAAAAAACGCATTACCCATCACATTATGTAAATTGCAAACTGTCTGCTACAAAAACTTGTCAAACATCTTTCCAATGAAGAAAAATGTGCAAGTGTTCGATTCAGATCAAGAAATAATAAAGTTTTCAAGCAAATGAGTGTTGCCACGCAGAACATAATCGAAAATATATCCATTCGCTCGCCACGCACTGGCACATTTTTCTTCAAGATTCGCACAAGAAACACCTACATTTGTACGATATTAAGTATTTATGACACTAGCAACTGTATGCTTTGAACAGACTTCATAACCTTTCAAAGAAATCTCCTCTATTATCCTCCAACAAACAGGGTGGATCAATGCCGAACACCTCAAGCAGTGTGCCGTTTTTATTATCGTCCAGTATGCAATCGATACGATCCAGACGTACCTCAACTGTGCTCTCATCGGGACCGCTGGGATCTGGCTCTGGCTTACTACAGCAACTCGGCAGCGGAATGGTAAGACAAATAACTACTTCTGTATCAGGCAATGCAAGCCCGGTGCAACATTTAGTGGTTAATGGACAACGTACCTACGTCCGAAAGTGTCCGTCACTCAATATCACATTCAGTCAGTAGTGAACAAGTGCAGAAAGTCACGATAATATCGATGAATATTCTAATGAAGTAATGACGAAGTGAAGCCTGTTGGCGTTGGCAAGATATGAAGATTTGCAAACGCCTTAAACGCAAATATGCATTGAATCATTTGAGCTGTGCTTTGTAACAAAATATTTAACAAACCAAAAAAAGGATTTTTAATTTACACAATTACATACATATTTACTAGTACCTAAATAAAAACATATATTAAATAAAAAAAAATTTAATATAAAAGAGAACTTAGTGGAGCACTTGCAGAGTACTCACAAACGTCACAAAAACGTCAAATAATTGGGAATGATTGGCTTTGTGAATAGACTTTTTCATTACCAAGCCAATTGAGAACACAATTCGTAACGATCTTTTTTAAATGCGCCACTGTGCCACTATGGTGGGGAATAAGTTGAATATTACCGCATACCTTAAGCGTATAACCCGCATATGTATATTGTGCGTTCGAGTCTTCAAGATGGCTTTAAATATAATTAACTACTATACTATAGTATGGCTCACAGATTTCTATGAAACTTAAAGTTACTTTCTTGCGCACATAGCTCGTTTGGAATATAAGGCAATCATTTCCTAGTTAAGTCGGGGCAAATCGTGATCTCCGACGTATATAATATATGAAAACATTTTTAAATCAAACCCGGCTGTGACAGTAACTACATATATATAAGATATCTTTAAAGCAGCACAAGTGATTTGGGTCAAAAGTCGCGCAATTTTTTATATTCTATCAGTATGATTTGCTGGCTTCCGAGGAGAATTAGAGACACACACAAATTTGCTCTAATTATAAAGTATTTTTAAGTTTGAAGCCACGGTCAGCAGCGTCTTTTGAGTAGGATCTTTATTGACAACTCTTGAAAGGACATTTTGTAACGGGTTTTTCAATAAGAGCGCTACAAAAACGGTTTGGGATATCAACAAAATTCTTTATTCCTGTGAAAGTACATTCGATGCCATTATGTATGGAACTCAATTTTTTTGTATGACCACCACGGTCATGCTTGCTGAAATCTAGACCCTGAACCCACTTTTCGACAGTTTTCAAGCATAAATCGGCAGATATTGCTACAATTTCACGTTTGATATTCGTACGAAGCTCATCAATCGTCGCTGGCTTGTTGGCATAGACTATAGACTCGACGTAGCCCCACAGGAAATAGTCCAACGGCGTCAAATCGCACGACTGAGGCGGCCAATTGACTGCGCCATTTCGTGAAAAAACACGTTCACCAAACTTGGTTTTCAATAAATCGATTGTGGCATTCGCTGTGTGGCTTGTGGCGCCATATATTGTCCAAGTCCATATCATCCAATTCGAGTCAAAATATTCGCTTATCTATGAGTGGTAGCGAATCCCATACACAGTAACTTGACGGCCTTGACCATGACGAAAGAAGTACGGCCCAATGACGCCGCCGGCCGATAAACCGCACCAAACCGTAAATTTTTCGGAGTGAAATTTTAAATCATGAAGTACGTGTGAATTGCTGCCTGACCAATAACGCATATTTTGCCTATTGACGAAGCCATTCAGCCAGAAATGAGCCTCATCGCTGAAAATGATGTTTCGGATAATTTTCAAGTTTTTGCTTAGCCCAATTCACGAAAATATGACGATTCTGGTGGCCAAGTGGCCTCAGTTATTGCGTCAATTTGATCTTGTAAGAAAGTAGGCCAAGATCGCGAAATTCGTCACAACGACGTCACAGAGATGCCTAACACTTGAGAACGACGGTTTTCCTGAATTGATGCGCTAGCCGCAGCAATATATTCGACACTCGAGCACTCCTTTGTCTCACTGACACTTGAACATTTGGTACTGTGCCTGTGGATTCAAATTTTTCCGCTAGACGCTCAATTGTTGATCTGACAGGACGGTTATGACGACCGTAAATTTGACGTAACGATCTTAAAGTTGAGGCCACTGACTCCGAATTTTGGTAGTAAAATTTAATAATTTAAGCTAGTTGTTGGATTGTATGTCTTTCCATTATCAAATGGCAAACTTTCTTGAAGAGAAATATCAAAAAAGAGGGAAGGAGAAAGGACTCTCTCCTTCGGTCTACTTTTGTAGCGTCCCCATTGAAACCGTCTTTATATCCCTAAGAAAATTTTTTAGTATATCTTTTAAGTGTTCGTGTTTTCTCCACTGGTTCTACCTAATTTATTGAATTATTTGAAACAAGTGTTACTTAATGTGGAAATGATTGCAATTAAAAATGGAGTTACGCAAGTACAGTAACCAAATCATCAAATGTCAAATTGAAGTTTTTGTGTTTCGAAAAGTACAAATGTCACAGAATTTCCAAAGAAGCACTGTTGAGATTGCTTTGGCAAATTTTGTGATTTTTTATACAATTATAACTCTAAAAATTATATTTTCCTACATAATTAATATCTAATTTCCATACATAAGTTCATAAATTGTTGTTGCGCTATTTCTGCGCGCATTTTAGACGGGGCAGAGGGTAACAATGTCACGAATGTTATGCATTCAATTACACATAGTATACATGTATGTACATGCGTATCGTATTTAGCGCATATATATGTACACAAATACTTATACAAAAAGCCAATATTAAATGTTATTTACTTTAAAGTTTAAACATATCGAAAGCAAAATAATTACAATTAATAGCATAACTGTTTTTACTCTTACCCTTGATTTGTTGTAGTTCTTTAAGTATATACTATACATATGTATTTAATAGCAGTACTAAATGTATATAAATAAGTAGCAAAATGCTAAATGACAACAAATTAACATACACATTTTTGTAATGTGTACGGCAAGAACCCTCCCAAGGAAGAAAATGTTCCTTTAGTTTTTCACTCTCACACATTTTGTACATAGTAATATTGTTAGGCATACATATTGTTATATATTGTTATATTTTTAGCGTGCACTCAGTATTGGCAATCAGTACTTACGTAATCAAAAAAATAATTGTGTCTGTATTTTGTCTTAATATTCAATTAAATTTTAATTTATTATAAAGCGAACGTACATACAGTATATACACTTATCACATAGAATATCGGTAAAATAATTGAACTGAGTTCGCTGGCTTAGTTTAATTTAGTGTTAGTGAACACATATACACTTTTATGTATGTATTTCCGTTTAGTAAGTAGCGCCTGCCCTGCGTTTGACTTTTGCCCCAGCAAGTACCGAATTTTGTATGATTTTCAGCTTTTTGCAGACACCCAACCACAATCCTATGTCAAGGTATACAATTTTTGATTGTTGTTGCACGCGAATTTACAGAAAACACACTTTTCGTTTTATAAGACAGTTATTTTGCATGCTTTTCACGCAAGGTGCTTAACCCCTTCTAACTCTCACATACTCTCATACTTTTAAAAATTTTGGCGATGCATGTCACTCGAGTTACTATATATAGGTATCTCGGTAATAAAATGTTGGAACTTCATACTGACTTTTTACGTCTCTGTTGTTATGCCAATATTTCTATTACTAATAACTGTCATATATGATATAAGGCATAGCATTTCTCAAGAGTATTTGTTAAACAATTCAATTGAGAGTTTGTGCTAATGACGATTATCCAAAACAAAGAACAAAAGAAAAAAAATGTTAATGTCGGTTGCACGGAGGCTGTAATACACGTATATATGGACAGGCTTGGCTAAATCGACTTAGTTCTTCAGGCTGATCATTTATATTGCTGTGAGCAAAAAAAAGTTTTTTCAATCCTCAAAACAGGTGTTCGAGTCAATTTCCGGAATAACCTTATATACCCGTATCAATTCACGTTTAAGCGATCGTCTCAGTGTGACCCTCCGAAAAATCACTGATTTTCGTGATTTTATTTTAGTGTTGAAATTAACCAAGCAGTTCGGTTTTTTTTTATAAATAAATACATTCATGACGAATACAAAATTATTTTTTTATGGTTATTTATTGGGTGTATAATATTTAAAACAATTGTTAAAATGACACGTAAAAAACTTTCTAAAAGAATATTAATTTTTCGCGCTATGGAATTTTTTCTTTTTTTTTTTTTTGAAATTTGACAAAATGGCGGCGGTTTGAACAAAGAGTATCGAATTTGGCTTTTTTTTCAACAGTTTTTCATTGAAAAAAGGAAGATTTGAAGCGCTATAGAGAATGACTTTAAAAATGTTCTCTCCAAATTGGAACTAGATATCTCTAAAACTCGTCCTTTGCGAGTAGAAACCATTTTGAACAACACCATTCTGAAAAAACACGTGAACGAAGCAGATGTCTCACTCCGTTCCCCACTCTGTTCGCTTTCTGCAAGAAACGCTGTTGCGAACGTAATAATTTGAATTTCGATTTCAAAATTTGAGAGAATGTCTATTACAGTATATACTATTTCGACTTTTCGAAAAGTTTACACCAAGACGATCACTTAAAGTCTTCTATTGGCTTACAAAGGGTTTTCCCAGGACCATAATTCAAGTCTCTTTTTACTAATAGCTTCGCGAAAAGGACGCATAACACTATAACACTCGAATAGTATTCCTTGTTGCCAGTTTGGCCTGTCGGAAGGAATCCGAAGTGCAACACACCTCGATAATCGAGGAAAAATGTCAATATAACCCTGAATTTGATCTGCTCTGACGTGGTTTTTTCGGCTTCGGCTCACCTTTGCCACTATATTCGATCGTCTGTTTCTGTATCGTAAACATAGATCCAAGACTCATCGCCATCGTTTTATGAAATCCTGATAGTCGAAAAACAATGTTTCAAAGACGTTAACACGGCGCTGTTTTCGTTTCTTTCTGAGTATAATTAAACTCGTACAAACGTAATATACCCTCTTGAGAGTATAATGATTTTGGTTGAACTTGGCATAAGCTTTAAGTTGAGGTCAAATCCTGATAAGATGGAGTCTAACGCGATAACAGTATTCAGATAAGTAACATTCCTTAGTTCGGCAACTAACTAAAGGTAGTCCAAAGAGCTGACTATTAGACCACAAGAGGAGGTGATGGAAGAGTATATTTTAAATAGAATTTTAGATACCTGCGTATCACGCCAAATGAAAAGAAAAACATTATTTGCAAAATACTAGAAATTGTAACTATCCTGATCCAATTTTTTTATGCATCCGCCAATTCTCCTTAACAACACTCGTACACCACACAAGTATATTTTTTCAATTCATAAATATCATATACACTTGTACATACATATATGTATATCAATTTCTGCTGCATGTACCACTAATTGCTATGGAATCCAGTTATATACATTTGTATTATGTGCGCATTTTACTTTCTGCCCATCTGACATTGCACAATGAGAAAACAAATTTTCGCGATATTTTTTTATCTCGTCCCCGTTCGTTTTGTGAAAGTCTATCGAATTGATGAGAAATGCATTGTACAAAATATTTAATTAATGCTAAGTCAATTTTGATCAGACAAAACATATGTATGTATGTATATATCACTAAATCGTTAAAAGCAAGCTTGCAAATATTTCAAAGGAATGTTTAAGGATATGATTGACTGACACTCACGGGTCAAAACACAGCACACGAACACACATTCGTATGTATTTTCGATCTGAATATACTAGTTATTTATATACCAACGTATTCATATAGAGCGTAAGATATCTTTTCATACCTACAGCCATATTTAGATAGGAAAGTACACTTGGACATCATTACATTATTTAAAGCCTAGACTTAGTGATAGTTTTACGAAACACATGAAACCGTTAATTAATGTAGTTATTTGTATGACATATGTACATATATTCTTGCATATAAAACATTTAAAGTATAATTAGAGAGATTAATACCTAGAAGGTATAAGAGTTTCGAAAATTTTTGGTAACATTTATCATTGAATATAGATGTAAAGAATCTTCGCTAATCCCCGTAGATAGTTACATATATAGTTGTAGAATGGTGACAATTCGATCTAGAGCTATTTTTGTTATTCTTGTTTCTTAAGCTTGACATGGTCTTCTACTCTCCCGTGCATCTATCTAAATATAATATATACACTCGTGGCCACGCCAAACTTACCAGTATACTTTCTTAACGCTTTTTTCGGACTTTATCTATAATTATAGTTTTTAATTTATTACGTTTAATGAGTAAAACACAAATTAGCTTTTCTGTGTAAAGTGATACACCGACTAAACTTCGTGTTGCTATTAAAAAAGAAATAAATAAAATATATCAATTATAGTGTAAATGAAATTAAATTATAAAAAATAAAATTTTTTCATCGCGTGTCAATCTTATACATTTCGAGCTCATTATCTTTGAATTCATTTATCTATATCTGAATGTGTTTTGTTTTTAATTTTTAATATTTTTGATCAATAACATGTCATTAACATATTTCTAAATCAAAAATTTCTATACCGCTATAAAGTGTAGTCAAATATGCACAATACATGAAAATTTTGAGTGGTAAGGTTTGCGTGGCCACAAATGTATGTGTGCATATTGTTAATTATACTAATGTAAATATGTAGTTAATGCTATGGAAATTCGAAAATATTTGAAGTTAACAAATGTTTATAGTTATTACTAGAATACTATAATACATACATATATTGCATCATAAATCCACAAAAAGACATTTATATTGTAAGTTGTTTCTATATCTCACTGTTGTTGTTGATGCTTTGCGAATGTAACTGTACAATTCCTCCCTTTGAGTACTACGAAAACTGTACCTGCATACTTTTAATTATACTTACTCCTTTAAGTATTGCTTTAGCTACGAGTGTAGTTTTGGTAGTCGATAGACTTATTGACAGGTACTCATGGAGCAAGAAAATATCACTTTTAGTTTATAAAAATGCAAGGAAAATAAAATAGCTTATTAGAAATTTTTGAGCTCTTTTGATTTACTCATTTTGGACTGAGTTAATATTTGTGATTGTTAGTATTTTCATCATTTCTTCTATTGTCTGCAACATTTTCGACACTTTCCGAAACTATCGAACACAAATAATGTCCTTACTTCAACTTAAAGTTGACAAAACAAAAAAAAAAAACTAACATTGGTCAATGAGACCTCGAGGAGGACTATAATATATGCTTTTTAAGAATAGCAGAATATTTAATATTTAAATGTTTATGTATGAATAAATATAATATACAGTACAATGTCCGCAGCAACCAAATTTAATTTGGGAACACCCTAGGCTCAACGCTTGAAAAATCAAATCAAATTTTCTTAGGCATTATTTAACTTCTGGGTATACTTTTGTATATGTATATGTAACCATATTTTATATTTGGATAGAATTTTGTATGTTAAACTATATTAAACACTGTTACTTAGACATCTACACCTACACTTGTGCACTCAGCCATGCAAACTACTCTCTTAAGTGCCTTAAATGTGTCAAAACCTATTCATGTTATATAAAATCATTTGGATGTTCTTGATAATTGTGTCCGAAATATTTCCAAAAACCCTATTAAATGACTGCACCGGTATATAAATATGCATAATTGTACATAAATATACGCACACACATGGCAAATATATGTATGTGTATATTTAAAAACGATTTACACACCGTGAGTTTCTCAAAAAGCTGAAAATTGTAAGCCCTTATTTGAAAACATAAAAACATATGTACACATAATTTCACGAAACACATATGTAATTGAGCAAGCGATTTCTCGAAATAATCGATTTTACAAGCGGTTTTTAAAAACAAAATATGCTATAGTGTATATTATGTCGAAAGGCGACAGGCAATGTGTGTCAACTGGATTCACCTTAACTTGGTAGTATTGGTTGTTGGTGCGTGCATACACACGGTTAATTTCCCTCATGCAAATGCACAAAAGTCGTATTCATTATCATTATTTGCATATCTATTATTCATCCAAAACAAACATGAATTAACTCAAACACATTCACACGCATACCCAAAGCGAGACTTCCAATATGCATTCCCCGGCTTCCGGTAGTTTTGATTTCACCATCAATTAAATTATTTCGTATGAATAACGGTTATGTCGACACCATAATCTGCAATCAATATTTTTCGCAGATGTAAGTACTATATTTATGAAATACATAAGTATAAGCTCAGAAGGTTTGAAAATATCTACACACAGTAAGTGCTTCTAAATTCTCTTTCCCAAACACACTCAAGCAAAATCACATTGGACGTTTTATTAGTTGCCATTTTTATAAGCATATGGACCTGACTCGAAACCTGGCTGGATCACATACCACATTTACATTGGATGACAATGTAACCACAAGGCAACATTTAAGAGTAACTCGTAACATCAGTAATCAACAATACAAATTTTGGCAAAAGTTTTGTTCTTATATTTAAGTCAATTGTAATTGTAGTTACTCCACCAACCCTCCTCCCTACGATTTTGCATGCTACTGATACTTCTCTAAAATCCTCTCACGTACGTGTGACGTACTTCCCTTAAAATACTTGTACATGTTCTCTACTATAGTGTATGTATATTTGTATTTATTTATTAATCATATTTTTTTTTAGTAATATATGTTAGCTTGAAACAGAATTAACCCTAGTTTGTACGTATGCAAATAATGTATGTATTGATAGATAGATAGATCTAGCTAAAAATCTTTCTATATGTTTTGTTCTAATTAATTTCACAACCAATGAGAATTTCGGTACTCATAATTGACCTTCACAAACCCCAGAATTTTCAAAAACAGAACTGGGGGTTTCTGGTCGAGAACAAGTTTGGAACAAACAGTAATTTCCAAAAATTCTCACTTGAATCTGTGCTCAAATTAAAATAGGCAATGTGAAAAAATTTCTTTTTTTTCCAATATTCCAGCACAAATTCACAAACTTTAATTGAGCTAAATAAACAGAATTTGAAAATTTTTAATCACTTTATTTATTGCAAGTTCGGGAAGAGAAACGTTTCATATTAAACAACTTAGTAAGGAATTTATATATTTTTATTTATTTAGAAGGGAAATAAATATAAATAATTATTCGACTTATAGTAAGAAATTTATTTGCAATCAGTTCTCAACCGCAGGTTTGATTTTTTTATTTCACTTTATATTTGTATGTGCGTAGGTATACTAGTTGGTATATAATGTAGAATAGCGTAGACTAATTAAATCTCTAACTTCATTCTAAAGCTGCCGAAACTATACATAGTACAAGTATCTGGTATAATTAAGTTATTATTGAATAAACCACATGGCCCCGTTACGATCCACACACAGTTACACAATTCATGCTACTAAATGCAACGATCGTCCGGCTAGTCGCTCTACGTAATATTGGAAAATATCACTACTAAACCATCCATACTTATTTCCTTTTTTTCGTTTGCTAATCTAACTCTTTTTCAGTACCAGCTTTTCTCCGGTCGAACTTAAGCAAATTTTTTTACAAGTCACAGCTATCGCAATCATTTTTAACTCACCTAGCATTCGTTTAGCAAAACGCGACTTACAACTGCACCAAATTACAACGCGGCGGGCCTCAAATATACAAACTGCGACGAAATGATGTATCTCTGAGCATGAATTCATTATTAGAAAGAGGCAACTGGGCAATGGGAGCGCGCTATAGTAACCGCGTAGTATTACCAGCAGTTTTAAATATTCTTCATACTCACACCAGCTTAACACTCACACATTATATTTTACACAGTTATTTATTTAAATCACTTTTCAACACACATAAAACTGTAGGTTCATCCGAAATAAGTTCGCATAATGTCTAACATGAACGAACCACTTGAATAAGAAACGCAATAATATATATACATATATGTACATTCATATTTTCGAAATATGAAACAGCCTATGCTGTAAAACACCCACACCTCTAACCTAAATGCAAATGCAATCATTTTAGAAACAAACATTACTTAGTAGTTGTTTGCAACGAGTGGAATATACTCGTCGTAGTGTCTGGAAATCTGGAAATACGATTGAATTTAAAAACTCCTATTTATTCTTATATAACCCAATATTTCCAGCAATTTTAGAATCTTAGCGTCTTTAGAAAACAATCACAGCCAGCTATGGTATATGGTATTTATGTATTTAAGATGTTGATATTCACTTAAAGGAATCTCGATGTTTTAGTAGCGTCAAGTGTTGTAGGTGAAACGTAAAAAAGTTCCATTAACACTTTGCACACACATATATAATATATGTATGTGTGTATGTAGGTGTATCAGTAGCTATACGTAGTGTTTACCTCAGTCGATAGTGACACGAGTCTCACTTAAAAAAAATCATCCTCAAATCTATGCTGTTTACTTCTACACTTTCTCTAACAAGCTGTGCTAGCGGTCGGTTAACTGTAATTTTGTTTTACTAATTTTTAAACAAATATTGCAACTTTCGAATTTATTTGGAAAAAAAAAACAGAGCATTTCGACAGACTTCCCACAAATGTCTTAGCGATTCTTTGGCGTGCCAGCAGCACCGCAATAAACTTAGAATTGAAAGTAAGCTATACTCATGATTTTACAACTTAGAACAAGTATTTCAGTAAAATAAGTGTTTAGATGCTAACGGTTTATTATTTGTATGAGAGAAAAAAAAAAAATAATAATAATTAACAGAACATCAGTACGCAGTAACGTCATCAATAACACCACAACTACTACTACTGAGCTAAAGGTTGTTAATCCTCTGAGAAGGGCAGGTCCCTATCCAAACATGGATGCAGTTGGTTATAAATGAAATCCCGTTAAATACATATACGGCTTGCTTTATGTGTGAATGTTTGTGTCAAGTGCCGTTTACGATACTTAAAACCAGATGCAATAATACAGAGGCGATTTGTTTAATGTACTCACTTCTTAAATAGAATTAGAATACAACAACAAAAATGCACACTATGCGTAAAGAAACCTTCAAAAAGAGTGAAACAAATACAAAAATGTATAAACATGTTATGAAATATTCGCAAAAGAGAGAGGATTTATTGACATTGTTAAAATAGCGAAATGTTATTGCTGTTAGTGAAGGCAAATAGAAGGAAAACAAATTACATATAACGATTGTTGGGATTTTTTGCGGACGCCGTGCGGTGAAAACTGTACACAAAACTGTATTTAATATTAGATATTATATACATAAATCGTATTCATATAAGGATACTCTGTCAATTTTACAGCACTCAAATGAAATGTCCAAAGAATAAGAATAAGAAAACATACTCTAAATATACATACATATATACATACATACATCTAATGAAAACTGTATTTCCAAAGTTAAAAGAAATAAATACAAGTTTCAGAATAACATTTATATTTTATGGATTGTTCTAGCGTGTATACACAATATTAGATAAATATATATATATATAGTTACTTCTTATCAAAGTACCTAATTATTACGTTATTATATGTATATCTATTTGTACAATTCATGTATTTAAAAGACAATCAATATATTTCCACGTATAAGGCGAAAAACACGTGTAACGTGACTTAAACAATATGCTTAGCTCAATGTGGAAACGAACTACATACTTCACTTAAATCAGGAACTTTCAATACTTTAGTTGAACTCTTACGCTAATGCTTGAACCATTTCCACATTGAACTAAGTAGATACTCTATAAATTTTAGTATATACCTGCCTATATGAATACACTTATATTTCGTACTTATTATAGAAAAACTACCAAAAGTCCATTTTTACTCTAAAAAGCGCCAGACACGTAAATTCTTTTACAGGGATTGCCTAGCTTTTGCGTATGCAATCACATCTACTGGTTGAACTTGCACATTTAAAATTAGAATGCTTGTAGGTTCACACCACCGATCCTAACAATATTATATGATAATCTGATAATCAAAAATTGTATAAAAACACACTTACATACATTTTTTTCATATGTTTATGTATGGATTTTGAAAGTGCAATGTCGAAATAATTAATATTTATAAATATTTTTTTGTCACATGCAAATTCACGATTTTTTTACAAATCAAGCATGTAAACACCCATTAAAATTTTGATAATCAAATCCAAATTAAAAGAAAAATTAAAGAAATTCACATAGAGCATGGCTGCAGCTCTGAAGTTTCAACCAAGCCCATTTTCGGCTATTAATATTTAAATGCAAGTGTTTATTGAACAGAAACCACTGAATTTCATGTTTCGTGTGTATGGTATATAATTTGTTAAGGCGAATATCAATTTTATGAATTAACTTTTATATGTTTTCCATTAAATATATATAAAAAATGGTGTATTTATTTCAGTCCATTAATTGCACTTAAATTAAACATAAAAAGGGGAAAGCAAAAGCTCAAAAAACGACTGAATTCGAATTAATTAGTTAACTAATTTGCATATATAAACATATACATAATCAATTATATACTAATTTTAGTAACCAAAAATAATTTGCCACAGTTAGGACAATTGCCAAATATATTGTGGAATAACATAATAACGTATGTATATTTTATAAGCAGTTCGATTATTTTTACAAACTATAAACTTTAGTGTAATTACATATACACATACATATAATAGATATAAAATGGTAATGTAATTTATGTACTGTGTATATTTTAATTAGTGTTTTACGACAAACAAGAGTCGATATACATAAATGCAAGTATAGTCCTCAAGCAGGAAAAATTAGCTGTTTAATTCATCTAGTTTGTAAAATTACTTTATTGAAATGTTGAGGATTTTTTTTTTTTTAAATAGGTGTATACATATTATTTCACTAGTTCATGTAATTAAACGCGTGTTTAGTCGGAAATCACATAATTGTTCCTAACTAATGTTCACACTGAAACTATAAAGTCTACAATTTCATAGAAGAGAGTGAAGTATAAAATCCTTGAAAGAGTACTTTCAAACTAGAAATGGACTTACATCAAATCAATGAATCTGAATGTGTTTTAAAATTCAATTTTATTTGTACATACAGAAGATAAAGGAAATAAGTTTTTATAGCAATTGTTTGAAAACTGTTAAAATCTTTTTGGATGTAAGCTGCTAGATATAAGCATCTAGTCGGCTGCAAAATGAACAGTTATGATTATGGCATCAATATTGTTTAAAAGTTTTCGATAATTCTAAAGAATATTTTTAAAAATGAGTGTGTTTAAAAAAGGGAGTTGATTGAGGAAAGAAAGAACCAGTTATTACAAATATATTTATGCATAAAAATTTATGTCAACTCTTTTAAAGTACTGAATAATATTTGAATGTGTAATAAATGTGACCAGAAAATGTATACACTTGACTTTCAATATATTTTTTTTACTATAAGGGGAAGGCAATTAGTTTCAACTTAAATCATTTGTAAAAAAAAAAATACCATAAAATTAATTTTTTGTGATTAGAGCTACATGTTTATTTTCGTTGAAAATTCAAATTATCACTGAGGCATAAAGGATCTATGCTACTTTTTTCTCTTTGTGTGCAGAATGGAAGTTCCTTATAAGTCTCTAATTTCTGGTTTATGCGACCTGTTTCGCTATCACCGACTTCCGTATTGGCTTCACCGACTAAAATCTGTAAATATGATGGAAGGGTTAAATGCATTCATTTAATGCTTTTCGAACTAATTTTAAAAAATATCATTATATTTGCAAATAACGACGCTTATTTTAAATGTAAATATACACGTAAACAATAAATACATCTATTTAAGTATATTAATAAAATATATATATTTTATTAAACTGATGAAAGCGAATATTACCTCAAATTCTTTTGCCAAAAATTCTGCACTCTTCGCATCCAAATTTGGCTGAGGCAATCCCATTAATGCATTTCCTAAAAATTTGTAAACAGATCTGCAAATAAAAAATATTTAAGGATTTATTATTTGCTAACCTATAATATAATTAATTACTTTAGATCCACGCCGTCTAACTCTTTGGGTTCAGGAAGGTCTTCATTATTTGCAATAGCATTAATTACTAAAGCGGGCTCATACAAACATAGTTCTGGCAAATTCCACTTTTTAAATACTTGAAGCCACGATTCAATGTTAGAAAAGCTCAGAGAATCACATTCTTCGTGTACATTTTCTTGCGCCATTTGTATGCGCTGATTCATGTACTCTGTCAATAAAAAGGATTTATTTTAGTTTTTACTTATTTTAAAATAACATACCTAGCACAGAATTTTTATTAAATTTTGATGCTGCTATCACTTCGTCAACACTGTGTGAGCTGCAACCATTTTCCAACAAATGGTTTAAAACTTTCTTTTTCATATAACCATAAACATGAGTCTTCTCAGTGGACACTCTCTTCTTCCCAGTTTTCTCCGGCTTCTCGTCAGAATTTTGCGGCTCGGTATCTCTTTAAGAAAAATAAGACAAACTAAGGCCTCTAAATGGCATAAACTGTTGTAGTTGTGAACATTTACCCTTTGTTACTTTTTATGCTTTCCACCGGTGCGTCCTCAGTACTATGTAAAAGCCGCTCAAAACTATCGTCGGGTGATTGATTTCTGCAAAGGTAGATTTATATTGTTTGAGCACTATTTTATTATCAATAAAACTTACATTTTACTTTCAATAGATTCATCCATTTTCTCTACTTGTAATTAATCCATTTAATGAAGTAAAATTTGCTTTAGATAAATTCGATTTTTGTTTATTATGTACGCCAATTGCGAACAGCTGTTTTATTAGGAATGGATGGGAATGAAATACGATGCTGCCATATTAAAATGTATTGCTATCTAAATAAATAAACCAAAAACCAAACGGACGGTGATTTGACTGAACTTGAATAATTTTTTAAATGCGACATAAATTAAGAAGAATGAAATAACTTAGATAAAGAATATTAAAAAAAGTTAATTCAAAGCAATATATCAAGATCAAATTGTGATTAATTATGTTCAAATCGGAAATTAAAATATAAAAAAAAATTAAAACAAATTATATTAGGGATTAAATTAAAAAGAAAATTTATAATTTTATTTAAGAAAGAAGTAGATAAAATCGTATGACTTTGAATTTTCTTAGTCTTTATTGGGTTTCGTTTATGATGTGATATATCCATAATTTCTGTAGTAGAAATCATTTGCGGCAATAACATGGCATGTTGAATGAGCATATTGGAGCGATTGATTATGAGAGTTAAGTGGATTCAAACACTCCTATATAAATATGGAACAAGAAAAAATGTCGACTTCAGTTGCACCGAACTTATAATACCCTTCACTTACAAAATAGTTTCCATACAAGAACTTGATTTGAATCACCCACTCTATATGGCAGCTACATACACATATAGGTGGTATGGTGGTCCGATCTAAATAATTTGTTCGGTGAATGTACTGTTACCATGTGCAAAAATTCATCGCAAATTTCGTGTAGATATGTCCTGAAATGATAAATTTTTTTTATGCATATAAGAACTATATTTTGATCGTTCAGTTTGTATGGCGGCTATGCTATAGTGGTCCGACGTCGACAGCTTCTTGGGCAGAAAAAGACATTTGTAAATTTTCAAATCAATAACTAAAATATTGAGATGCTAACTGACGTATATACAGACAGATAGACGGATATGACCAAAAGAAAAAGCTTGTCATGCTGAACATTTATATACATATGTGTTTCATAAGGTCCACGACCCTGTTCAGGGTATAATTAAATTTTTTAATTTCTTTGATGACGGCGTAGGGTTTCTCCCCACTCAAAACAAAAAACACAAAAAAAACAAAAAACGACGTTAATAAACGCACTTTAATTTCACACACATAAGATGGATGGATCACATGCGCTCGTGCCTACATACTCAAACAAGTGCGATATCCATGTACATATGTCAGCTATTCACTACAATTGTGTATTGGATAAATTCTCTCAATGATCAACAGAGAAGTCCGCGTTGATCAGAGTACAGGCGTAAAGTAAGCTCAGCATGATCCACAGTTAGAGTTCTGAAAGCAACAAAGCCGGACACGACTTCGAAACACGGCGCGTGTAGTTAAACAACCGGTTTGTAAGCTAACGCGTATAGATCTACTCACAATCCAACTTGTTTACTCACTTATTGATGTTATGTGATAAAATGTGAAGAAACCATACATTGTACGCAATAAATTAATAATAAGTACTATATAAATATATCAGGGTGTGTGCAGAGTGAAGTATTGAAAATAATATTTAACAAAAAACTAACAAAAAATGGATGAGGATCGAGCAAGTATGCGCTCAGCGAACACTCATAATCCACTCACCTCTGCAGCAAATAACGCGCTATGGAGTCTACAGGGAAACAGTCCCGGTCATCCAGTGAATGGCTCCCCTGCAGCGATACCACAAAACATATTCGCAAATCCGGCGATTCAGCCTTCGAGTGTGATAAACCTATCCAATTCGTCCGATGTCGTTATAGGGCCCATGACCCAATATCAGGGTCCCGTAACGATATACCAATATATGGATGCTACAGTGGAAGCGCGATCGACGCAAGCGGGTGGAGGTAACTTATTATGCACCTAAAAGCTCATACTTTTTTCCATGCTCCTGAAGATGTTTCGGTATTTTCGAGCTTTTTGGAGACTTTGTTTGCTTTGTTTGGTTGTTTATATCTACACATTTATTCACACATAAAGATATATGTACATATGTATGAACTTGTGTGATGAAAGTTAAAATGAGTGTCAGAGATAGATAAATATTGAGTAGTTAAAAAGTCTTTTCGTATTTCTAATAAAATTTTAACAATTTTTTTTTATTTATACTAATAAATAAATAAACAAATATGTATAATTTTTGTTCCCCACTTTTTGAAATTTTTCCGCTAGAGACATTATTCTATCAGTGTAAGCGAGCGACTATTGTTATGCTGCACGAACTGATACAGCATTATCTCATTTTTTATACAAAAATTTCAAAATATAGCGAATTTCTTCATTATGTTCACTCCTTTTCGAACAGCTGAAACTTTTTTTCAAATTCCCGAAATTCAGCATTTTTGATTAAATGAAGCTTAAAATCTCACCTTTCAAATATATGGTATGATACAATGTGATAGGTAGCACTGGAGATATACGACTGCAGTGGCATCTATTGACAAAACACGAAAAGACTTTTTCGACTAACCAATAAATGTATAAACAAAGAAAGCATTTAATGACTATTATGTTTAGTAAATTTCACCAGACAATTAATTTGCAATTCGTAGTTATTAATACAAAATATATCACGATCTATTCAAATATACTTATGCATGCCATTGTATATACACGGAATCACGACATCACGGTAATTATAGTTGAGCATTTATTACTCGCGAATTCCCAGAAATAAGCGCACTTGTTAGTTTGTAAGTAGACTTCCAATGTAATTCTAAAGTAATTGGCACTAGTTCATATGGCTGGCTTAAAGCTAAAATTTAAATCATTTGAATGCGCCTAAATTTGCTTTCCAATTTGTACTGGCTTGTTCATTTTAACATTACATTGACAATATTAAATTTTACTGTTAGCGTTTTACCGCTGTGGATTTTAAAATTTTTCACTAATTGCAATATAATTAAAAATACTCAAAAATTTCCTTTACTATTTGAGATAAACTTTGAACAGTGTTCTCGCAAATATAGCGCCAGACCATCTTTTGCACAGGGTTTCTACAGTTCCGAGCTGATGATATTTGCCAACTTGGCGGCCAGACAATACTTAGACTTTTATTGTCCATATTTTCTTTTCGTAGTAATTTTGTTTATTAATGAAATAAGCTACATATGCTTCATCTTCTAAAATGGTCAACTTGGCGTATGAGTAACTTTTCCTTGTTTCTGCGTTAAGAACAAGATATTTGGTATTCGTGTAGCACAACAATGGTTTGCCAGCTTACGTTCTGGCACGTTCGATGTGAAAAATGAACACCGCGCTGGTCGGCCTATCGTTGAAAAATTCGATGAAATTATGGACAAGTTTGACCAGGACCATTACATAAGCAGCCATGCCATCGTTAAGAAACTTAACATTAATTGTCAAACAGTTTTGAACTATTTAAAAAAGGCTATCTGCAAAAAGAAGCTCGATGTTTGGTTACCACATGAATTGTTGGACCTTGTGAAGAATTTAATGGACTGCATTAACAACTGCGATTCTTTGCTGAAACTAAATAAAATCGAATCGTTTTTGAGGCGAATGGTAACAGGAGACGAAAATGTATCAAATACGAAAATAATGTGCGAAAATTATCATGGTCCATGAGGGATAAAGCTCAACAAATGGTCGCGAAGCCAGTATTGACGCCTCGAAAAGTTATGTTGAGTGTTTGGTGGGATTGGAAAGAAATCATCCACTATGAGCTGCTCCAGCTTGGTCGAACGATTGATTTTACACTTTACTGTCAACAACTGATGAGATTGAACCAAACAATCGAAAAAACGGTCAAAACTGAACAAGAGAAAATGCTTCGTCTTCCATCAGGACATCGCTACACCAAACAGATCTTTGATGACTTGGCAAAAACTGGGAGAGCTTGGCTGGGAAGTTTTGATCCATCAACCATATAGCCTTGACCTTTCACCATCGGACTACCATTTGTTTCTATCAATGCAGAACTCCCATAGTGGAGTAAAGTTGGCTTCAAAAGAAGCCTGTGAAAATTTTTTGCCAAGAAACCAGAAAGTTTGACACTGATGGCATAATGTCTCTAGCGGAAATATATGTAGCAATAAGTGGTCGACCAAAATGGTACAATACGAAAATACTTTATCGACTACCCAATATTTATGCATGTATATGTACGGTGTACATAACGAATTCGAATACGAAGTTCATAAAGTCCGAGAAATTAAATTACGGTTCCAATTGTCCGTCGCCTTTGTGAATCATAAATTTCGTACGAAAATTAATTTATTTGCAATCATCTTTGAGCATGCCTTTAATCATCATCAGAAAAGTGAATTTGATAGGGAATAGTGGCTTTAGCTCTTAGCTATTAATTCTGTCGAAAGCTTAAAATAATTATGAACTAATTACACTCAGAAAACGTAAAGTCTGGTGTTTATATCTTTTCGTGTTAATGGGCACATCAATTACATGCGTGGTGATAAACACATACATGTGGACACCTACATATAACTATGTTCCTGTGACTATTAGGGTGGTTCCGACAAATTGTACACGTTGATTTTTGACTTTTATAAAATTTTAACAAATAACCTTAAATGCGTTATAAAATTGCTGCAATTTCTAAACTACTGAAATGGATCACCCTAATGCGACCATACACAAATATACTATTTACACAATCCGATATTGTTTATTGTATATACGAATAAGCGCAACAACGACACATGAGCGTTTACAATGAAGTAGTGAAAATGAAAAAATACGTGCTGAACATGCTTACTTACTTGCATACAGCGGGCAGAGTCAAAGTACTAAGAAACAATGATTTTCACTCACTCCCTCTTTTCCTCATGTAATAGTTTTACGTTACGTTTTCTTACATACATATTTACTCGCGCACTTGTACATATCCACCAGCGATAAATGGATATTCTTACGATTCCCTAGTGAAAATAAACCATCACAGAGCGCTCCAGCCACTTGTACCTCAATAACACTGTAGTGCCACACACACACTGATGCAAATCACAAAGGTGATATCACAAATGGCACAGAGAGGCGAACTCTGTTTGACCAGTTCGCCGGATAATCGCTTGGCTTGCTGGATGATTGTTTGCAGCGCTGCTTATTGGCCCATCCGCCGGCGAGTGGTTCTCCGGCTCATTGGTCGATTTGTCAACTTTTGAGTAAAGTTTTTCGAAAATTCAACAATCGCATTTAGTAGTAAATTCGTTGAGCGCTGTTGATGCGGTTTTACGACGGCGCATTGTGACGAACACGAATGCCTCTGATAACGAAAAAATCGCGACAATGACGTGACGATTGTTTTCGAATTTTTTTCAACATAAATTATTGATATCGCGGCGAACACGGTAGTCTATATTGTGACAAAGTCATAAAACTGTTGGAAATCAATACAAACAACAATAAAACGAAAATGTGTGCCAATAAGACGGAAGCAATTTGCGCAAAGAAATCATTGTATATAAACACAAAGTGAAATCAATGTGAAACGAGTGAGAAATATGTGCTAAAAATAATTATTAGTGACGTCACATAAAATACTGTGCATTCGGCAATTAGTCATGTCACATAACAAACTCTGTGGAAGTTCTAAAACGTCCCATTCTTCGCTTAAATCAGCTCATAATTTGCAAAGTAAAGTGTGATAAAACGTTGAATGCTTTTTATGCCGCAAGAAACGAATAATGTTGTCCATGTAGGAAAACTCTTAGTCACCGTACAAGAACACCAACATACTAAAGTCACCACACTTTAGAAAGGCTAGTGCAGCTAAAGGCAAAAGTAACTTTAATAAGTGTTGGATTTCATAATAGAACATAGCAAGTAATCACAACATTTTTCGAGTCAGACCGTTTAGCAGAGTTAGTCAATTTTTTTGTTTGCCTTTTACAACATTAGGAAAAATATAACAAATAAATAAAATAGCAACATTATTCCATCATTTTATTTGCCATAAAGCAATCGGTGCTCAGCAGATTAAACCCATTACATTTCTTTAAGTTTATTATTTCCATTTCCATTTCCGGCGGGCATGTCGCGGACGTTTCTTATTTTATGCACTTACACACACATGTTTAGAAATGAATGTGAATAATGAGTGTTGAACTGACTTCTTTTGCAAATCGCGCATTCCTATTGAGACATGACGAGTGTGGAAATACTAAAGAGCTTATCAAGTAATGTGTATGTTACAGTGAATGCTAAATTTGCTGGCAGCTGGCACTGCATGTCATTGCATTTAACAGGGAAAACAAATACCAAACAACAATTAAAAATTAACATTTTGAAAAGCTACATGTGCAATTATCATACAAATAAAATAAAATAATTGTAAACATTACAAATGTCGTGTTTATTAATAGCAGAGAAAAGTTGAACAAAAACACGTTTATATTGCCACTTGTTGCGCACCGCAGTTATATTCAACTTTTATGTGCAGCGCAGAATATATGTAAAAGGAGACGATCAGTTGAACTAAATAACGCTAAACAAAATGAAACTGCTGTTGAAAGTGAACTCAGAAAGAGCTCGCAAACGCTACGCTCCCTCAGCGCCTGCAGCGACCGCCACCACAAGACGTTAGTACCAGTTTAATTAATTTTTCACTAATTGTTTATCGATGTTTTAGAAATTGTAAGCAAAATCAAAACTGCGCAGCTGAAATACTTATATGTAGCAATTGCATTCGCCGCCCGAAAAAAGGCACACATCATTTTCGCAGCTTTTGTCAAATTCACTTTTTAATAAAACATACAAGTCATGTTTTTGAAAAATTGATGTACGAAAAATTAACAAATACATTTATGTACTTATATGTATGTGTCTATACATGTATATAGTATACATTAGGGTGTGGAGATTTTGAGTAGAGAGGAGAAATTGAGTAAAAAATTTACCTTACTTTAATTTATTAATACATACCTGCAAACAGCCTCTTTGGCGAAGAAATTAAGAGAAGAATAATGTCTGATCCATATCGTTTGTTGAGAGGTCCGCAGTTAAAGAGCCGAAAAAATGCGAATTTTCCAGAACTTTTACTGAGAAAACTTTTATTTATAGTCTTTTCGTACCTCTAATCAAACTTCAACTTATTCTTTTTAATTTTTTAATAAACTTTAATGGTTTTTCAGCGAAAACTGTGACATAAATTTTCACAGGTTTCTCTTGATGGTGCAAGGTCAAGGCTATATGTTGCATGCATCTAAACTTCCCAGCCAACATCTGCCAGCTTTTGTTGGGTCATCAAAGCTGTGTGTGGTCTAGCGCTGTCCCGATTCAAAGTGAAGCCCTTTTCGTTGGCCGTTTTATTTCGATTGTTTGCTTCAATCTCATGAGTTGCTGACAGTAAAATGTAGAACCAATCCTTCGACCTGGCTGTAGCAGCTCATAGTGGATGATTCCTTTCCTTTCCAAACCTACCAAACACTCAGCATAACCCTTCGAAGCGTCAATACTGGGTTTAAGACCATTTGTTGAGCTTCACCATGCTTGGACCATGATCTTTTTCGCACATTATTGTTGTATTCGATCCACTTTTCGTCTTCTGTTATCATTTGCTTCAGAAATGGTTCGATTTCATTTCGTTTCAGCAAAGAATCGCAGATGTTAGTTCGGTACATTAAATACTGTAACTTTTTTCAACTTCCCCGAATTTAATTTTTTAGTTAAATTAGCTTAAAATCTGGAAAGGTGCCAACACTACGTGGTATGACACAATGTGATTGGTAGCACTGCAGATATATGACTGTAACAACATCTATTGACAAAATATGAAAGACCCGACTACCCAATGTTTATTGATTCAAAAATTTGTACACGTATTATAGTAGTATCTTTTAACTGTATTTTAAGATTTAGTAATAGTAAAAATATTTATTTGGACGTTTCGTGGTGACCACTGTATTTCCGGAAAAAAATCGATTTATTACCAACATTTCGGCTTTAAATAGTTTACAAAAAATATTTATCGGTGAGGAAATATCTTCTTTACTAAAAAATAATCAGTTTAGCCGTTTTCGAGTAATGTTGGTCCCGACTTTGAAAACACCATTTTGAGAAAAACGCTTTTAAAGTTTTGCCTTGTACTTCCAAGTACTCTGAAACACCGAAACAGTGATTTAGAACCTCAAAGAAAGCTTTTATTGGAAGTTAAAATAATATTCCTTTATTAATTTTTGAACAACAAAGCAAACTTTGGCTATTGTCAGCTTTTATGATTTGAAAAAAAAAACTGTATGGTTTGTTTCTCCTTATGATTTCAACTAATATTTTATTCTTCTCAAACCAACAAACCCTCTAAAGTTGTCTTTTGCTCTGTTTTTTCCCCTAGGAATCAACCAAAATACGAGTAATGTAAACACCTCAGTTTTTCAAAAGCTTTCCACATCCTCCAAGCTACTATTGTTGCTCATTGTTGTTGTTATAATTGTGGCCGTAGTAATTATTTACATACAGATACAGCAAAACAACAAGCAGCAGCCCGGGCCCATAGTGTTTGGCAATACCTATGAGCATGGCACATGTAAGTATATTGGGAAAACCAAACCCGACGCGAGATTACTGGCGTGGAAATTTATCATGAATATTTGTACCACATATGTATGTATGTAAATAAAAAAATAAATTTCCTCATTGTTCATATTAATTTACAATAATCATCACATTATTTTGATTGGTTCCAAGCTACCTATTTACAGTTGTTCTACTATATAAGTAACCCTTATGAAAATTAAATCATGTTTAGGCATATTTATATTTTTACCTCAGTACCTGATGATAATTTTGAAGAAATTTTTATTTTAAGTATCTTAGTTCCGAATTTAGGAAATGGACATCTGGTGATAGACCGCGAGCAATGGGGTGCCTCGGAGTTGTCGAAAACCCTAACAGTACCACTAAAACATCCGATACCATATGTCATCATAACGCATATTGGCGTCCAGTCGAAGCCTTGCGAAACCGTGTACAAATGCTCAATTAAAATGCGTACCATACAAGACTCGGCGATTGCGGAAAAAAACTTACCCGACATTCAGGCGAATTTTTATGTGAGTGGCATAAAATAATCGAACGAAATTTGCAGGGTTTTCAGTACAGTGTTATTGAGCGGTTTTGCTGTTTTTTGTTCGTAGCTTCATTAATCACTAATTATATGCTTAGTCAATTATTTCGGTAATTACACAATTATTTTGGCTACATTTAATTTAGCGACTCGCCGAAAGCGAATATCGGAAAATTTTGAAACCACAAGCGGTTACTTTGGTATTGTACATAATTTTATTTTGACAGTGATTTTTAAATAACTCGTTAATTTTGAATCAAGAGAACTGTCAAAACTCCCAACAAGGCAAATTCTACAAACAAGATATAATCGATTAACCAAGCAACCTTATAACAAAATTCCATCCATGTCTATATTGCAATAATTGCTAAAAAAAAAACACTAATATTTCAAAGGTTGGAGACGATGGCAACATTTATGTGGGACGTGGTTGGGACTACGCGAACACTTACGCGAACGACACCTTGGCTGTTACGTTTATGGGTGATTACGGACGCTACGAGCCAAGCCAAAAGCAGTTGGAGGCGGCCCAATACCTACTATCCTATGCTATCGCCAATAAATACATTGAGCTGGGCTACAAGTTGGTGGCGCAAAACCAGGTAAGCCAAGCTGTAAATTTACTATATTAAGCTATTTAGAATATGTCATTAAATCATTTCAAAATTGTATCAACAACAATTCCAATTTAATAGAAAATATTAAATGCTGAAACCATGTAAAATCTTTCTAGACAAAGGTCTCAAAAAGTCCGGGCGCCAATGTTTACCGTCAAATCAAAAAGTGGCCACACTTTTATCCTTGTGGTATTGGGGACAATCCGAGGTGCGGCGTTGAGCTGAACATGCCAGATGTTTGGGATGGAAAAATGTAAACACTATCAGCAGCACTATGACAACTCTACAAATAAATAGCATAAGTAATAGTAATTATAGAATACCTCAGTAAGAGATAGGTCTGTAGCACATATTGGACATAAAATGAGATTGGTTTTTACAAAAGATTTTTACACAAGCATATTATTTTCTGTTGTATATATGACTTACTTTTGATACTTTGATATAGTCATACAAACCAATTCGTATGCCTGTTATCATCTAATTCCAGAAATGTTTAGGCTTTTAGTTGAATATGATATTTGTAATATACGAATAATAAAAATATTTAAACAAACTATCTCACAACTTTTATTTTGCACAATTGAACGATCTGCATGGCTTTGCGCGCCTCTAAAAAATTTAAATTTTTTTTGTAAATTTGTCAGAAACCGTCATAGAGAATTGTTTCATTTATTTCATTAAGGCGTTTATGCACCATTCCTTGATGTGTTTCTGACACAGTGATCCAGGCAAGTAAAAATATTATTTATTTTTTTAATTCTTTGTTTTAAAGAAAATCAGACTGTAACAATCTCAATTAAGTCATACGACACATGCTTAGTAAAGAATAGTAAGACTTTGTTAATTAATTTAAAAATCTTACTTTCTTCTTCAAAATCAATGTGGTAATCCTCCTTTGTAAAATCAGGCGAATACGTTGGTTGCAGCATGATATTTTTTGGAAATTTGGCGAAAAACTAACAAACAACCTACAGGGTTTGTCCGGAAAGTAATGGGAATGAGTCGATTAAAATAAAAAATGTATTGAACCAATCGTTACAATTCTTTAAAAACTTTCAAAATAGGCTCCTTCGTGTCGATGCAGCGCTGACAGCGCGATTTCCAAGCATTTAAGGCATAACGGAAGGCGTTCTTCCTAATATCCCTCAGAGACGAGGTGTATGCTACTTGGATCCCCTCTGTCGTCTCAAAAGAAAGGAAGATTGCCTCGGGATCATACTCAAAAATCCATGACTAGTCACCTGTGATTACGTTATTAAAAATTGGGAGTCATTTTGACACATGTCCAAATTTTCTCGGCAGACTTCCGCTCGGCGCAATTTCTTGTCGTCAGTGACCATTTTTGAGATCATCTTCGCGCACACCTTGCTCATGTTCAAGTGCACCGTCACAATGTCAGGTACCACAGATTTTGATAAATTTAACATCTGGGCAATTAAACTCAACAATTCATTAACAACAACAACACTTCATGCTAAAGCAACATCTGGGTAAGTCTGCTTGATCATATCAAACGTCTCTGTCGCAGGTTTACCGAGTTTCACACACAATTTAATCGCGTACCTCTGCTTTAACGAGGGCCACATTTTCAGTTTGCACCACTCACAGAAAAACGTCCGCGAAAATGTTTGTTCTGACTCTACAGGTGCTCGGAAACAACTGACCAGCCCTTCATTAGCTAGGAACACCCTCTACCGAATCCAGTCGATGCGCGCATGCTCCGAAGCACAGCCGTGGCCAGTCAGTTCTATTACTTCCCGGACACACCCTATATGCAAGAGACGACGGTACATTATCAGAAACCCAAAGTTGTTGGCCCATAATTACCTCCTTTGAAACCAATCATGCTTTCACATTCTCTGAATGCACTTCAAAAAGACAAGTAATGATTATTTTTATATAGCATTTGGCACAGATTTCTTTGACAGTTATACCAACCTATAAAAAAATTTTTTGACGAATGGCTTTTTGCGCGAAATTTAAATTAAAATGTCTTACTATCTTTTTTCCATAGTAGTAAGTATAAGTAAACCGAGGTAGCGAAAGTAAAATAAACAAAAATATCAAGTGATTTCAACGATCCTTATAACTAATATTATATATATATATATATATTATATATTCTAATAATTAATTGTGACGGAAATGTATTTCTAAATGGTTTGTTTTTAAGATACAATTTCTTATTGCTTAGCAATAGCTTTCTCAGAATATATATATTTTTAAAAACGTTAAAATTTATATACACCGTTGATACCGGCAATCTCTTTGTGCACCAGGTCTTTGTCGTCCAACGTCAATATATCACGTGTACAAGGAGTGCAACAGGTTGGCCTGACCAACAAGAGCAGTCGAATTGAAATTCGTCTTAAAAACTATTTTTGAACACTTGATTGCCATACAGCCGCACAAATATATACATAAATTAATAAACATAACAATACTGTACTTCTGTAACCATTATATACCCGTAGCAGTAAATACACGGTCATATATACATACATACAATATAACGTTTGCTGAATACATTTAAGCCCACAGTTTGGCGATTACCTGGAATTCGCTCCGCTTGCCGAAGGCTGAGCGCGACTAAATGAACGGACAGGTGCTCACAGCTGCTCAGTTGTGTTGTACTCTATTAGTTGGAATGCTATCATAAAACCAAATAAGCCGGCTCAATGCACAACCACACAAACCCAATTCACAGCCGTTGCCAAGACGAGTATTTAGAAGCTGGGTTTTCCCAAGCTTTGATTTTATCAACATCGCGGTCTGCTCTCTCTTGGACTTTTTGTTCGGACTCGGGTTTTGAACGCGTCACAGCGACAGTGAGCAGAGTTACGCTTGTCAGCCAATACGCCACTTATAAGTTTCGCTAAATACATTATCGACGCTCGGTGTGCGTCTACACAGCTAATGAGCGATTCACGCAATGTGTTTGTTATTGTAATATAATATTATGATAATTCAATTAATACAAATTTTATGCAAAACGCGCTAAACATCCTCGGTTTCATGGTTCACGTTTAGGTTTATTATAATAATATATCGAAGTGCCGTAAAGCAATGGATGAGTGTGTATGTTAAAAAATGATTGAGATTCCCAAATAAATATTTAAAAAATCTACAATAAATTTTCAGAACAAGATATTAATTTAATTCTTCGATTAGTGTCGTGATTCTTAATAGTAAACAGAAAATGTAACACCAAAGTGTTTATGTCGTCTCCGTTTCTTAAGATAAAATGTTTCAATAACTTAGTGATTACAAACGTCGGACATTTGGTCGGTAAGTCCAACTCATAATTCGTCATGTATATTTTATAAATAAAATGTAATGTAATTATCAATGTATCTTATAAAGTCCCTTGTCTCAGTTCAACAACCCTGAATACATTTTCCACTAATAAATCAAGGCAGCCATGAATGTAAAACACTCATTGAATGGACGTTAGTTTGAGTTTCGTATACTATATTTTACCCTTAAACGATTGCCGGTTCCTCTAGGCACCTGATGTTTCCCCAGGGGATCATTTAAGTTTCATTTCATAAAATTTGAATTTCGATTTGTCAACTTTTTATCAAAACGTACATCAAATTATATTTTGATATTTTATTCAGACCAGCTTTGTTAATTCGTTAGTCGTTACTCGGTAGCTTCTTACGTGGGTTTTGTTTTTATAAAATTAACAGATTATCGTTTTACCGAGTAACGAAGTACCAGACTGGCAATCATGATAGTTTTTTGGTAGTTGGTAGCATCACTCAGCTGTTTTCTTTGCGTTGTTACCTCAAAAGTTAACTTAATTCATGGAAAAAATTGCTGTCCACTACAAATTAGTTTCTGACAAACTTTTCAAAAGTAAGTATTTAATATAATTGAATAAGCTGTTTTGAAACAAAATTTACACCCACTACTGATGTACAGCAAAAAGTATGTTCACAGATAAGTGTTTTAACGAAGTACCAACTAACGAATTACCAGATTAACAAGTTCGGTCTGAATACCAGTATTGAAGATTCCAAATTTACTAATGAATGACAACAGTCACTTGAAAATGCAAAATTTTCCTTCAAATTATTTTTTCGTTCAAGGGTTAAGTAAACTGCATCAACTCGGATGATTTGCGCATAAACCAGTTATGCTTTCGCATTTTAAATTTTCTAAGAACTCCACAGTTATCTCAGGTTATACCTACATATATCTTCGTAAGTGCGTTCGCAGATATACAAAAAGTTTATGATAACTTTGCCTAAACTAAGTGGTCTAGAAAATTTCGGAACTTTCCCTCTTCTTTATTGGCGTATACATACTGCATACGTGATTAGTAGAGGATGTGTCCGTTAAAAGGCGAGCTAAAGTGAGAAGGCGAAATATTACTCCCCAGGGTTGGGCGCTGTGTTTGGAATCCTCCACATAAAGAAAAGCAGCCCCGTTGAAAAAAAACTAAAAAATTTTTGAACTCACCCCTATAAAAATTCGGGTACGACAAAACTGTGTTTGTTCTTGCCGCCGATTCAAATATGTGAGAGGTCAGGATATGGATTGAAAATAACAAAAAAAAATTAGACCAGTATTGTTTTTTCCAGCGGCGGAGTTTCATCCGATTAAAGCAAAATAGTATTTCACTATGTCTCTTGTTCCTATTTTACTGGAGAGTAAAAAAATACAATTTTTATCATAGTTATATCTGGAAATTAAATGGTCTAGGACAAAAAGATAGAAGGTTGTAAATTTAGACTTGCGTTTTTATCTTAACCTTCCTTAAAAAGAGAGCAAGAGGTTTGATCTTACATCTGGCTGTGCTACATCACAATTAAGGACTTCAAGTGGCGGATACTATCAGTTTTGGTCTTGCAAGTTGGTTACCAAAAGCCTTGGGCTTGCCAATTTAGAAACACTTTTCAGACCCATTCTTTTTCTGCTATCCTTCTACCTCGTGATAAACTTTTGCATTGCCATTTAGTTTCGTCATATTTCCTTCTCTGAGAGCAAGCAGTCTCATACTCTCACAAAATTTGCACATTGACAGCGCCGAATTACAATAATTAAGTTCCCATATGTATTCTTAAAATTAAGTTTAATAATTGATTTTCATTTATTTTAGCATTTCATCGCATTTAATAAATTTGTATATTACGAACATGCTGCATAGTTTCTTTCAACACATAGTAAATGCTTTATTCAATAAATATTTGAAATACTAACATAAACACCAGCTCCCATTCTACTATACAATATTATCAATATACATATATACTACATAGTTGTACTATAGATACATGACAGTGTAGATAGAAGCAGGTTCCAATCCGGAAAATGCATGTCCATTGCACTGCCTACACATTCGTTCATATAACAAATGGCCGACTGATAAGCGACAGACTCGGTTCAATCATTTGTTTGCAATTACTTTAGGAAGCGTAAATTAAGCTAGTTCTGTATTTGAATCCAACACATATCGCCAACTCAATTTATATACTTAAAGTATTATACGTACATATGTACTTGCATTTGGGAATTTCAAGATTTCCCGCAGTATCCAGAACCGTGGATCTTGGCTTCAAATGCCAACTGCAAAAAATTCTATATATAAATATGTATGTTTATGTTTTAAATGCCCAATTTCAATTGAAATATAATTAACTTATAACGAACTTACCTTTATTTATTTAGTGTTCAGCTAAGACAGCGATAAAGGTAAAGAAGCAGGCTTAAGCTGACAAAACTTGTTTTGAAATTTTACGCCAAATGTGTGTTAATAGTTATACAATTTATTTAAATTTCTAGAAACACGTTCTGACGCATTTTCCTCTTTACTGAAAAAAATAAACATTGAGAGAGAAAAAGAGCAGATAAAAAATAGAACAACTTTATATTTACTTGAAAAAGCTCACAGTGACTTCTATAAAAAAGAGTTCAGTTGCCATTTAACATCAAGATTAACGTGAAAATATGAAAATAGAAAAATTTGGAAAATCGATGAAGAAGGTATAGAAAAGGAAGGTATTATAATGACGATTTAGTAGTTCATTTTCTACTATGTGCAATAACAGCCAGTTTCTTAGCCTTATTTCGGGCAGAAAAAACTATACTTAGGCTTTTGCGACAGCACATCTACCGATGGTGCTTCCGCGAAGCCCACCTATTTAGTAGTAGATCACAAAAGGATACGGGACCACCAATTCGCTGCTATTTTACCGGTTCTAGGGTGCCTTTTCATGCTAGCTCATCAGTTTTACAGTTTCCTGCGATTTCACTCTGACCCATACCAGTCTTAATAATAATAATAGTAGGCACTCTTCGACCAGCCCTGTATGCACTGTTAATGAGTTCAAGACTGCACTCCTAAGCAGTAAATCTACTGCTACCTTAATGGCTGCAACCTCGGCCAGTAAGATACTGGAGATGATAGAAGGCTCCTGATAGTAGACCCCTCCACCAAAATTCTCCCAGCTTTGACACATCCGTGAAGAAGCTCGCTGCCGCTCTCGTCCAACGGCTTTTTCCCACCCATAAATTAAGTTTATGATCCGATATGAAGTCAAGGTGAGTAAGAATTTCACGGTTCCAGATCCGTGCTCTTTTAGAAATTCAGAATCTCTGAGTGTGATTGAAACTTTTCCAGCCATACACCTTCCGACAATGTCCCCTATTTCTTTCAACCTTTCTTCACCTTTTGGAAATATAATTACGATTCCTCAGAAGATTACATACATAAAGGACTTTCTTCAGAAGTATATGTGAAAAGTAGGAAAGATATGAAAAATATAATATAATGAATAAAATAGAAAGAATTTTAGAGACTCATCATATCAAAAATAAGTACGTTAATGTTATAAAATCTATACCAATAAATGACCAAAATTCAAGGTCATTAGTTTTCCGTTACGTCGCTATATTTACGAACTAATATACAATTTCCTAGAAATCGAAATATTAACCAACAAACAGTAATAGTAAAACTATCATCTTTACGAGCGCAAAATTTGCCGTGTCCCCTTCATTACTTACTTCAGACTGTAAAAACGAATGTACAACCATAATAAAATATCTAATAATTAAAAAAAGAAAATATTAGAAAATGTAAACTGAAGTGCTCTGCCCCTCTACGATGCTAGACTATATTAGAAATTTATTTAAAAAAGTTCTATTTTGTTTTCTTTGTTTTCTCACTTCTCTTTAGCCTTTAGGCTAACCTCATTACGGAATTAAAGCGATTGTGGGGCGAGTTTACGGAGAGAACCTCTCAATTTCGTTCGGTTGATCGTAGTGTTAACAGTCGTGGAAGCACACACATACACAAGTGGAGCAGCATGATGGAGAATTCACAGCTTCAGGTACGAACACTCGGGCTCGGTATCGCTTGATCGAGTGAGCCGCACTCAGTTGATCACAAACGCTTCAGCGCATCGCCAATATTAACTGGTACGGAGAAACGCAAGCCTGTAGCGACTTGCTTGCTAAGTACGTAGAGTTTTTGTGTAGAGATTTTGAGAAAATACTGAGCAAAAAAAGCCTATAATTTTTGTTGTATTGCTCCAAGTGCAAACGAGTTGTGTGTGTTCCTCGTCAATAAATATACAAATGAATTAAGAAAAAATTCACTTAACTGTCATGCAAATGAATGTGTAATTAAGTAAATACTCGTACATATTTATGAGTGAAACGAAAAATGGAAATTTTACACTAAGCTTTTGTCGACATTCAACAAGTACGAAACAGAGCTTTAACTGAGCAACGGAGTTCGACGTGATTAAAAGAAGGGGGTGGGAAAAAAGAACTGCAATACATACACACGTAAAACAAAATGAAAAAAACATAGTGTAAATTTAATAAAATCAAATCTATAATAATAAAAAGTGTGAATTAAGACACTCCAAAGAGTGTTGTGCTATTTAGTGTAAAACAAGTTACTCAAGCTAAGGCGATAAATCATTCCTACAAATGATGATTGTTTTGCCGCCATAAAAAGCCCAATTCTATGTAAGTTCGTGCAAATCGAGTATTCTTTGGATTTGTATATCTCTACTATAAATATGCATGTTTCAAACAAACTCTCCAGAATGCTAAGAAAACCCACTTTCAGAAGTTTGGACCTGAAAATTGAATTTAACCGTACTTTACAATTACAATTATTGATACAGCGTTCGGGGTATTCCACAACAGACGTTTTATAAATTAGTGATAATTATCTCGCTTTCCCAACGTACTCAAAAGGTAAACGATTCGCATTCTAAAACCGGAACAGGGTTTATTAATTTTGTCATGAAGTTTGTAATAGTCAGAAGGAAACGTTGGTGACTCTACAAAATATATAAACATACATATATATGATCAGCGTGATGACCTAGGCTTCAGTTTTTGAGACACCGATTTCAAATTTGTCATACCCACTTTTCTTCCTGAAAACAGAAATGGACCAAAATGAAATTCTTGGATCAAAATCAAGTTCTTTGGTGAAAATCTTTCTTATTTGACAAAATATCTTCATCAAATTTGGCATGGATTGTTGTCTTAGACACCGGTAGAATTGTATAACTAACTGAGTAAAGTACTTTTTTACTTGTGAAAATATCTTCCCGAAAGTTCGCATAAATTATTGTTCAAGGCAATGCTACAGCCTTCGAAAAAATTGTTCAGATCGGATAACTATAGCATATACTTACATATTTGCTAATCAAACTGATCGTTCAAAACTAATTTAAAGATTTTTTATACCCTGCTGTACTATAAAAAATGTACCCGTAAATGGTATTATAGTTGCAGTACACCCGATGTTGATGTTTTTTTTTTGTTGTTTTTGTTTTTAATAACTTCCTTGTTAAGAGCATAAATTACTTTTATTTACGAAAGTCATATTTAAGCAAATTAATATTAAGCAATTTAAATAAATGACAACGAATACACAAAAGGTGGAGTCACGTAACAGTTATCTTTTAGGTCGACCTTCCTTTTGGAAATATGGTTCATGTTATCTCTGAGGTATTAGTTGGCAATAAAGTGATCTCATGATTTTATCCAACAATTTTAAATTATTGCAATTATCTTCACCCAATGTTTGCAACATTTAACACCCTTTCGTTCCCTAAGTAAATTGACTTCGACTTGTCTCGCGGAAGAGAATGCGATAAAAGAATTTGCATCGACTTTATTCGCGTTATCATTTCGCAGAAATGTATTTATGGAATTGCTTGTGCGAATGCTCACTGAGCAAATACGCGCAAACACATACATTAATATGTATCTGTGTGTGGACTTGCACTCGCGTGTATGGGTGCGCCGAACGTGAGCGAATCGACAAGGCTGCTCGTTTGAAATAGCCGTCAACTGTGCACCTTAATGGCGTAAATAAGCTGGATTGTGAAAGCAACAACAAAAAGAAAACACTGAAATATGGATTTGTGTTTGTTTCTGTTTCTGTTGTGCTGTTTACAGCCGGTTGCGAATACTTATTTATTTTTTTACATTTAAGTTGTTAACTTAACACGTGTGTGTGTAGAAACATTAGGGTGGTTCAAATAATTTGTGTAAATTATGTACATAGGTAAAAAGTTTTTGAACAATTCGAACTTACTAGTACGATGAATGTGAGTTTGTAGATGGGGATTTGGAATTGTGCGGTAAGAGCAGAGAAAATATTGCACTGTAAAAATTCTCACCAACTGAAAACTACTGATGCTGACCTGATTAGGTTCTCTAAATATCTGGTCAGGGTTGATAACAAGTTTCCCTATTCTTTGGCCTCATATTTCCCACCTATGAGTCCTTATAGAAGATCAATGGTCTCCTACCCTTAATTATTGAAGTAATTTTAAAAACAAATGAAAAACAAATGTTTTTCAAAATAAACACGACAACAGTTCATCTTCGAAATTGGGTTCAAGAGGGTTTCTTCTGAAATTCTTTGTCATTGGCATCAGAGATGTTTAAGCCACTCAATCATCTCAATAATTAAATTTTTTTTAAAGTGATTACAGTACGAAACCAAAGTGCTTTACATAAACATATGTATGTTAGTGACTAATTGTACGTAAACTAATTGACGTCATGTCAGTTCATAGGCTATGCGCGCTCACTGTATGACTGCTCCCCCGTGAATTTTAATTTGAAAATTGTTAAACCAACAAATTTTTGGAAGCACGATCAAACGATTATGTATGCTTGTAGGTGTTTGTAAGGTGTAGACCGTTTCTAGTAAGTCTTCTTCTTTAATAGCGTAGTCACCGCTTACGTCATTATAGCCGAGATAACATCAACTTTTCGCAATTTGGTGCCAATTCCGGATTCCTAGTGCAGCCAGGTCTTTCTCTCTCTTCTGCTGCTGCCCCTGGCGGATTTTAGTGCATTCGGACGACCTGACCTAACCAGCAAAGCCGCTGTCTTTTAAAATGTTGAACTATGTCAATGTCGTCATATATGTATCTCGTAGAACTTATTATTCCATTGACTGCGGTATTCGCCGTTGCCAATGCGCAATAAGTCTTCCCCAGAATATTTTTCTCGAAAATCCTAACGTCGAAACAAGACGGGAATAATGAGTGAACTATGCAGTTTTGTCTTTGTTCCTCGAGAGACGACTTTACGTCTTGCATTCGTTCACTACGAGACCCGTTTTCTTCGCTTCCTTATCTCGTGTGGAGAAAGCAGGATGTTGGGATTAATGGTATCAACATCATCGGTCAGCAACTGTATATTCTTATAGAAGATTGTACCTTTTGTATTCAAATCTACAGCTCGAATTATTTTGTCCTTGGGTAGATTGAAGAATTCGCAAGATACTGAATTCTGAAACCTAGTTCGGCGCGGAGAGGTCCTTCTCGATACTGACAGAGTTTTTGGTATTGCTCAATGTCACCGAAAAACTAATACGACTGTGTAAGTACACGACTGTGTAAGTATTAGTATTTCGGTGATAATTAAAAGCAGCATTGAAGTCGGCGAGAAGGTGGTGTGTGTCTATTCTCTTTTCAAAGATTTGGCGCAATGTGAATATATGGTTAGTTGTTGATTTTCTAGGCCTAAAGCCACACTGATGAGGTCCAATCAATTTGTTGACGGTGGTTTTTAATCTTTCATACAGTATGCTCGATAAACCTTATATGCAATGTTGAGGAGGCTTATGCCATGGAAGTTTGCGCGGATTATGAGATCCTCCTTTTCGTGGATTGGACAGAGCTCACTTAAATTCCAATCGTCGGACATGTTTTGGTCCGACCATATTTTATAAAGAAACTTTCTTCTTATAAGTTGCTCGCCGCCGTATTTAAATAGTTCCGCCAGGAACTCACCTATATAGGTTATATTTTTCAACCATACAATAAAGTCTCACTGATTATAAATTACTACGGTGCAGTCTTGTGAGCACAGACGTCAACTTAATTTTACACGGATTTGCCAATCAAAACTTTGTACGTTTCTGAGAGCTCGACTTTGGTATTTGTTGACATTATATAAGTATGTAGCTAATGTACCAAGATAAGATAAGGAAAAGTAACTTACAAGCCCAGTTGTAATTAAATATACACTACAGACTGTTAGAAGGGAGTCAGCAGCAGTTTGAATCTTATTAAGGACTCTAGATTCTGAGCTCTCAAAAGTACTTAAGCCAACCCATGTGTATTTTTAGGCTCAACAAATGTCATTGGAAATTTCGTGTGTTTGAAGATGACTATAGAGCTAAGAGAGAGATAAAAAAAATTTGATCTAAATTCTACGTAAATTCTTGGACCAACCAATAGGAATTTTAAGCCCTTCCCAGTATCGTTGCTTGTAGATTTCTGAGCCAATACCATAGTTTGAATTAAGTGTAAACAGAAACAGAAACCTTACTGTTAACTCCTTATAACGGAAAAACTCGAAAACATGGTCATAATAAAACTATCTGTTTGAATCGCGATATTGTTTGCACTCTTTTATCAATTATTTCTTCTTTCATTACAGAGCCCCTGAGCCAAGAAATAGTTGTGAAATGTCGCCGGATATAAAAACAATATAATAATAAGTATCAAAAGCATTTCGGCAATGATAACTGGGGACTGTTGAAAATATGTAATGCAATAAAAGCGAAAGTGCATGTCTTAGCAATAACAGTATTCCGAACTCAAGTATTGATTACGACGTTCTGTACAAAGATTAAAAAAAAATGCATTTAAAGAATGATAATGAAATGAACTCAAATCCTCAAATAAGTGCTCATCTGAATGTTGAATCGGTAGCAGTGAAACCAAGCGCATTTAGTGCCACATCAGCAGGAGACGAGGCAGCAATAACACCCTCAACCTCGTCAGCTGGCAGTTGTGCCTCTTCAACAGACTCTGGCGTTATCATTACCGACTACAAAAGTCTAAAAGTCAACAATGTTGATATCAATCGCGACAATTTCAATTGCAATGGTACAAGTGGCAACAACGCAAAAGATAACAGCAACAGCAATATCGTCAACGGCTATGACGACAAGCGGCGGCGGAGTGTGGAAAGTTTGAAAACAAACAAGAATATTACAATAAATACACAAATTGACAATAATAGCATAAATATTGAAAATGTAATCAATGTGCGGCGGCAACGAAACTCATCCGGCAGCAGGGCGTCTTCGAAGAATGGCTCGCCGGCAGTGTCGATACGCAGTAATACCATATCGATCATATCGATTGATGAAAATGCCATCGACTCCAGTGTCGTCGACTCGGACTCGGACTATGAAGGACAATACAGCGGGTGTGTTGTGAAAAAGCTTGGTCAGCAAACAACCTACGAACCAAACCACCCCAATTTGCCGAATATTAATAAAGGCATGCAAGTGCTAAGTCAGACTATAAGTCCTGGTGCAATACCCCCAACAGCCGGCCCACTATCCGAGACGATACTCAATGGTGGTGCGCTTGCACCCCCCGTACTCGGCCCTCCTACGTCGCCGAGTTCAGCGCAAATCGGTAGCATCGCACTCTCGAATTCCACAGATGTTACCTTCGGCGATAAGCATTTTTACGAGGGTCCCGTAACGATACAACAGTTTCTCATTGATAGTCGTGATAAATGGAAAAACGGTGAAGAGGGAAGTGATAATCCTGCCTTCACTGGCGATCCAGGTGAGTAATACGTGCACTCAAGCGGTTGTATTTTGTTGCTTATGCGAGCAGTCATTTACGAGCATCAACGAACATTCTAGTGCCATTACTTAGGGCTTCGCATCATTTCTGCTACACACACACCTGTAAGCTTGATGTTTGGTTGTTATTTGGGTAGTTAAATGTCTTTTCGCAGTTGAATTGCACATACAAACATACATATATACATATATTTATAAAACTATATGTACTCAACTTTGCAATTGCGTTCTTCTGAGGCAAATATTGTTTGCGCAATTATTTGGGAATTCATATTCATTTATATAATTTATGCATTGTGACAAAAAGCTCCTGAAAATTGTAATTAAATTCCGCGAGTAAATGATATTTCAAAAAAATTTACTTAGCTAAATTGGTTGGACCCTCTCTACTTAATTAGTTACTATGCGAAATAAGGGCGCGATCTGTCAAACAGTTAAAAATATCGAACAAAGAATTTGTCCCAGGTTTGATATTTCTAACCAAATTTCGTGTGCGGAATCATTGCGAATGTTGGAAAAGGCAAACGGTGATTTAGTTTTATCAAAAACACAAGCCTACGAGTGAGACATAGTCTTCCAAGACGGTCAAATGATCGTTGAAGACATGCCTTCGACCTCTTCAACTGATGAAAATATTAAAAAAGTGGACGATATGGTGCTTGAGAATCGTCAGGCAAGCGTTAGAGAGTTGGCAAGAGAGTTCGACATCTCTCGCGAGTCCGTTCGAATAATTTTGGTGGATATTCTGGGAATGACACGCGTTCTTGCTCGACTCATCCCGAAAGAGCTAAATTTTTTTCAAAATACTCACGATTGAGACCGAACTTTAAACCAAAAACGCATCGAATACCATCGATCAACCACCTTATTTACCAGATTCTGGTGGGGATTGCTTTGACGGCATATTGATAAAATACATATTGATTGAAAAACAAAAATTTAAATTTAAAGGCAAATCTGACAAAATAAATATTGATAAATAATTAAAAAAATGTTGTTTTATTTCCAAATTCCCGGTACTTTTTGGTCACAATGTATGAATATTCAGGTAAATTTTGAAAAACAATTGTTTGTTTACACAAATGTATTTAGGCTTGTTTACAGCAGGGAACATATAAATCTGTTGAGACCATAAATTTTTGCCGAAATTATCTGTAGTTGAAAGGCAAATATGCTGAACAACAAGATGCTCAACGCATAACTGCGCTGAACACGATATATTTTATTCACATAGTCATAAGAATCATACCCAAATTCAAACGATTTTCACTTATTCTATCGCCCACGCGTAGGCGAGTTCAATATATACATTTTTTTTTCAGGATTTTTCGCAGTTGTTCAAGGCTTTTAGGCAAGAGCATTTCTAAAATGCACCCGACCTTCTTTTGCTGCTGCAATTTATTGTTTTTAAGCATTTCCCTGATCTCGTAAATCCAAATTAAGTTACATAGCATCGAAATATTTGCACTTTTGGAAAACTAAAATGATAAGAATTTTCCAAAGCGCATTTCTATATTCGTTTCGTATTTTCTTAATAATTAACGGAATATATGTCTATGTATGTATGTATGTGCGATTATGAATGTATTAACGCGGTACATACATACATACATATGTCCAAAGATTTAATCTATGTATGTAAAGGAAGGCGGTGCAAATCTATCCAAAGCAGTTTTTATCTAATCCATAGTATATTTTTTAGAGACTGACTCATCCACTTTAAATTAAGAAAAAGTTGCGTATATAATATACTACATAAAAAGAATACATAAGCATCCATACAACCATACATACATACATTCATATAATAATATGATCATTAGAGGGCAAGCGAAATTCGATTTATGTTGACGTTGCTGGTAGACGAATATTCTATATTCAATACACATGTGAAGTCAGTTTCTCTCTTATCACATAGCTAGTGGAAATCAAAATAATCATGCCCTCTTAATTTATTGCTCATCGGGGAGTTAAAAGTTACGTAAATTCTCTGTCAGGCAGGTATCTTCTAAACATACAAACTCTTCATTTTTACATACAATAGTATGTATGCATGTATGTATTCAGCTGCGTTAAGCAAAAGTAAACAAGTGAATAACACAATCACTTAATCAATGTTGCGATTTTATTGTTCTCCATTTCCAGAATGTGTCTTTTTAGTGCTTTATTTAATGGAACTGAATGAAAGCGATTAAGAAATGTATTTTGTCATAATTGAGCTTCGACACGTTTTCTAGTTTCATTCAACATTTCATTGTAAATACCCGAAACTTAAATCCATACTAATCATGCGAAGTAACTATTTATGCCAAACAGCAGGACAATATTGTACGCATTGTGACAAGTTCCAGAACTTCTTCAACTTATAAAAACACATCAACTAACTACTGATTGAGGGGGTTTTTCTAAAGAAGTAATCTACATATTCTCTGTATGAGACCTTTCACGCATTAATTTATTTCTCTGCTCCATTCATGCAAATTCGATGACTCTGTATTGTCCAAAAGGCATTTTCAGATCAGTTCGTTCTAAAACATCTAAAAAGCTACATCGTGCGGCAAGTGCCCCACATTAATACTTCAAATCAATTTTCGGGCAACTATCGACCTCATTACCAAGTACAATAATAATATAGATAGAAATGTCTTTTTGTTGTTCCTGTAATCAGCCCATTGGCTGGTATTCCTACGACAGTGCTATTAAATGCAACGGCCCTTGCCAGTGTAAATTTCATTCCTCCTGCACGAGAATTCAAGAATTGCAAATTTCGAAAATGGGCAAAAATACAGTTTGGAAATGTAGGAACTGCTTTTATTTGTGTACTGACAGAATCAACGGCGAGAAGTGTGAAATAAATGAGAAAATTCTTTACGAAATGGAAAAACGCATTCAAGTTTTGGAACATAAAATGTTAATATATACGATGATAGGAGATCTGAGTGAGTGACCTTTGTAATCCCAAATTATACTACTGTGAGCAAAAATTAGCAAGACTTTTTCATTTAAACTTCGCGTGAAGACCCATTCGTAGAAATTTTTTTTTTTTCTGGGTTGGTAGGACTCTCAGTAACATCTATGCCAAATGTCACTTCAAAATAGTCATTGATGTTTAGTAAACGCTTATCTTTCTTTCGAAGTACATAAAGTGAAATTATGCAACAAAGAAGTTCCATTGAATTTTGTGTGCGGAATCAAATTTCTGGTGCCAAAACGTTCAGAATATTGGAAAAGGCGTTCAGTTGATGACATACCACGTCTAGGACAGCCACCCACATCAAGTGATGATCAACACGGCAATAAAATAAAAAAAAATAGTTTTTGAGACTCAACAATTTTCAGTCAGACATCTTATGGAATATCGGAAAGATCAGTGAAAACATTTTTTAAAGATCATTTGGGCCTAAGAAAAGTAATAGCACGAATGATTGTGAAATATTAATTGTGTAAACTTCCCGACTACCAGGATGTCATGAAATATATTATTATTAGTGATGAGTCTTGGATCTATGCTTACGACCTAGAAACACAGGATCCATCGGCCGAATATCGTGGCAAAAGTGAATCAAAGTCGAAAAAACGCGTAAAAACAGGTCAAAAATCTAGATTATGTTGACAGTTTCTTTCGATTATCGAAGAAACTGTCGACAAGAAATACTAATCGAGTGTTATGCATCGTTTTCGCGAAACTATTCGTAAAAAGAGGACAGAATATAGGCCGACAACTTTAGGTTTTATTCACAACGATAATACACAGTCGCCTGAATTAGCTACGAGTTACTTCTGACTGTTCAGCAAACTCAAACGACCGCCCCGAGGAAACTTTTTTGAGTCAATTGAACACATTCAACGTAAATTGCTTCGCGCATCGAAAACTATTCCGGAAACTTTAACGACTGTTTCGAGGTTTGAAAAAAATTGTGGCAAAGGGAGATTACTTTGAGGGGGACGAAAAGATTTTGAAGAATAAGTTAAGAATTTTAAAACTATGAAAACAGTCTTACTACTTTTTGCCAATAATAGGAAGATCATTGCTCGCATAACTTATCATTTACCACCCAACAATAGATAGTTTATAACAATCCCTGATGATAATCCTTGAGATATTTACCTTTAGCAGTCTATGGGTATACTTATGCCAGACTTCTTATGGAAAATTCAGGTATTGCCGGGCGAGTTTGTAAATATTGTAGGAAATGGTTGCTTCTTAGACTACACTGCACATGAATAAAAACTTTCTTTACTACATATTTTTATAATTATACTTATACATAACATTTCTCTTGTTTCCAGAAAACGGCGAAAAACCTAATAGTTCATCCACACCGCCCGAAACTTCATATATATTCAATTTTCATCGGCGAGCTGTCATCATTACCGGCACTGTAATACTACTCACAATATTAGCTGGTATAGCTATAGTCACGGTGAATGCTCTCACAAAACAGACGATTCGAAAAAGTAAGCTTCTAGGCGATGGCGACGATTCCAGAAAGCATATTCCAATCAATTCAACAATAGGTATTTTTAAACAAAGATTTTGGTGCTCATGGTGGTTAAAACACAGACACAAACACACACCCATAAACGCACATTAATTACCTCCCACACTTTCCATTTAAAAAAGTTCAACTGAATATTGTGAAATTGGGCGAAATACTCAAACATTAAAAGTTTTGAATATCATCTTTCATTTGCGTATTTTTGTTATCGTTTGCGGTATCATTTTCGTTTGTCTCATCTTATATAGCATATAACAAAGAAATTATTTCTGAGAAAATTGAAAACCGCATAGATATCATTAAAATGAGTGATAACCTCGATTTGTGCATGCTCTGCAGCTTTTCTCTCTAGCAAAAGTGGCTTAACAAAAAATATATATGATTACAGACAGTCTCTTAGCTTTATGAAAACAAAGATTTTTGAAATTAGTCGGCTTAAACATTAATTTTTCTGCAGTTTTCGGTTTAATGCAGATTATGAAGATTAATGTCGCATTTCCACTTAAAGCACCGCTAACTTCTCTTCGCTCTGATGCAGGCCTTTATTTTGAGCAACATTATTGCGAATTCAATGAGAGTTTTACTTTCTTGAAAACAGCTGTTTAATTCTGTTATTTAAATTTTACGCCATTTCATGATAACACTTTACGAGCCGTATTGGCTTCATAGAGAAAGAGTGTAATTTTTAATGTAAATTTTTGAGATAGTGAGTATTTTATAAATATGTACGTACTCAGTAGTTGTCAAAGCAAACATTTTTTACATACCCACCACCATTTGAGCACATCTAAGGGTGAAATACATTTTTAAGTGGTCAGTAGGGTAATCTGACCCGTTTTCTTCATTTTTTATAGAAGTTTTTATTTTACAATAGAACTTTTTTTACATATCATGAAGCATATCGTTTAGTGTATAAACAAATTTTTTCGGAATTTTTTGATGACATCTATCGGAGAAATGGCTGGGTGAATGAGATGCGTTCTTTTCGAGTATGAAATATATTTATAAGAATTGTATATTTGTAAATAAGTAATAAGCTAAGAATCGATTCCCCGGTTTATAAATAGCCCTCTACAAATAGATAGGCGGTATAGTATAAGCGATTATCAAATGTTAATTACCCACACTCATGCATTTAGTTAATACCTCCATTGATTATATTGATATTGTGTCAATAGGAGAGTGTCATTTCACTTTTTGTTGAACACCACACAATCCACCATTTGAGCTCAACTGCAGATAAAGAAATTATAACAAAGTCTAAAATTTTTACTCACTAGCCTCGAGAAAGCCTTTAGCTGCGATAAAATATAGTAGAAAAAAACATTATTTCAGAATCCCTTCTGGATCAGACACCATCTCTGTCTCCAAAGGTCAATAACCTACAGTCTCCAAAGGTCAATAACCTCCAGATCTTCAATCCGACTTTATCGAGAGTTATAAAAACTATATCTGAAAAGCATTGAATGCTAATGGTTGAGCGATATTCGAAAAAGACTTTTCGTATTTTGAATCAAACTTCAACTTAACGTTTTTATATTTAAAATGAACTTTAATGAACCAAATATACACAATTTTAGTCTACCAGTTTTTAATATTTTTCCGCTAAAGACATTATTCCATCAATGTAAAACTTTTCCGGTTTCTCCGCGAGAAACTGCGGCAAGTAATTTTCACAGGCTTCTCTTGAAGCCAACTTTACTCCCTTAAGGTTGTTCAGCATTGACCGAAACAAATGGTAGTCCGATGAGGCCATATATTATAATCAAAGCAATTTTTTGCAAAGTCAAGGCTATATATTATAATCAAAGCTTCCCAGCCTAGTTCTTCCAGTTTTTGCCGGGTGATCAAAGAAGTGTGTGGTCTAGCATTGTCCTGATGGTAGACGAAGCCCTTTCAGTTGATCAGTTCTTGGGTTTTTTTTCGATTGCTTGTTTCAATCTCATCATTTGTTGACAGTAAAATGTAGAATTAATCGTTCGGCCAGGCTGTAGCAGCTTGTAGTGGATGATTCCTTTCCAATCCCACCAAACAGTCAACATAGCCTTACGAGACGTCAATCCTGGCTTTGCGACCATTTATTGAGCTTCGCCACGCTTGGACCATAATCTTTTTCGTCTTCTTGTTACCATTCGTTTCAGAAATGGTTCGAGTTCATTTCGTTTCAACAAAGAATCACAGATGTTAATTCGGCCCATTAAATTTTTCACAGACAATGTATGTGGTACCCAAACATCGAGCTTCTTTTTGTAGCCACTATTTTTTAAATGGTTCAAAATCGTTTGATAATGAATGTTAAGTTCTAGCGTTCTAGTCGTATAATAGACACAATTGGTAGCACTGGAGATATACGACTTTTTCCGCAACCCAATAAGTAATGTGGGATTTTTCATTTCCGTGACTGTTGGGCCACTGATAGAAGCAATCATTTAAGTCACTACATCCATCACATAAACTGATATCAGAGCACAAGAAGTTTTCGTTCTATATTATTACGAGTACTTTTCACAGGATTTTAAGTTTTGTTTTTTTTTTCAATTCGCACAATCATCTGTTTCATACAACACGCATACATACGTACATGGTATAAGTTATGTGTGTACTTCAAATTCATATGTTAAATAAATGTGAAAGTGGTTTAAAATGAACTTATTGGAGCACCTTTTTAAAACCAAAAAGTTAAGTTGAATGGAATTAATGTATTTAAGCCGTCTCGTCATAATTATACAGACAGACATTGCAAACACTCGATTATTTCATTTCAGCACCTCTGCCAGATGGGGCGTACAAGTTCAATGGCACATTACTGGTAGTCAGCAAGGATGAATGGTATGCCGAGGCAGAGCACGGAGGCGTTGACAAGCTAAAACTGCCAGTGCAACGCGTCATTATAGCACACACTGCATCAACATCGTGTGAGACCAAGGTAAAACCCTACCACAGAAAATTTTATGAAATGAATATATATAATATCTAAATTGATCCATTTCCATCTTGACATTTCGTAGCTTCAATGCGATGCTCGAGTACAAAGTGTGCAAGCCTTTCATATACACTCAAATGGTTGGGGCGATATCGGTTATAATTTTCTAGTTGGAGGCGATGGTTTGGTATACGAAGGACGTGGCTGGTACAACCAAGGCGCCCACACCTTGGGCTATAATAAAGATAGCATCTGTATTGCATTTATCGGTACATTTAATTTGCAAGTGCCCACAGAAAACGATTTGAAAGCAGCTCAATTACTCATCGACGAAGGAGTGAGGTTAGGTGTGCTTCCAGAAAACTACCGACTTTACGGAGCTCGGCAACTAAGTGCCACTGAAAGTCCCGGAAAAGCGCTGTATAGCATAATAATGAAGTGGCCTCACTGGAGTAGACAAATCTGAATGGAGTGCAGAGATTTTAAATTTAATTTTCAATTCGAAATAATTGTGAAACATAATAATAGTGACATTGGATTGTATATTTTTTTGGCTTTATGCAGTAGTTTTACCTAGATTGTATTTATATAATTAGTTTATCCGAATTTAAAGCAAATATACTTATTTATACTACACTATTACACCGTATTTTATATGAACCCTTGAAAGAATTCGTAATGCTATAATTACATTCCATTCTAATTACTTTTCCCCCCTGACTTTAACATAGCGCTCAATCGCAATGAAGTCCTCTTTATAAGACATTTCATGGAATTTCTACCCGACTATGAACTCCTTAATAAAAATTAAAAGAAAATAAATTATTGAATTTACTAACTTGATTTGTGCCTATATTTTGCAGCGGATGATAACGTGGGAGGGGGCAAGATATTGCGAATTGTTCCACGTGATGCCTGGTTAGCCCAGCCGCCTTCAAGTGATCCGTTACCTYTGGCGACACCCGTCAAAAAAGTCATTGTTCTACCGACGCGCACTGATGATTGTGAAACACAGGTGAGCTGTCAGTAATAAGAAAAGGCTTATCAATTTAGTATATAGTACATATGTAATTTCACATGAATACATTGTTTAATAATTTCAAACTCTTTCTTCCAGGCCATGTGCGTTTACCGGGTGCGCATGACACAAACTCTAAACATCGAATCTCAAAATCACGATGATATTATCTACAACTTTCTAATTGGCGGCGATGGCAATGTGTATGAAGGTCGTGGATGGGATGCGATCGGTGCCCATTTGCGCGGCTTCAATTCGGATAGTATTAGTTTCGCCTATATTGGTACTTTTAAAAAGCAGAAACCTGCGGAAAAGCAAATGGACGTCACCAAATTGCTGCTTGASGAAGGTGTGCGACTTGGTAAACTCTCGCAGGATTATAAGATATATGGAGCATATATGTTGGATCCGACTTCGACGGATGTTCAGTCAGATGAGTTGTACAACAGCTTCAAGGGTTGGCCACATTGGTCTGAATACGTAGCTCAGTAAGGCGCAATATATGTATATGTACATATGTATATTGAATAAGTATATAGGTGTCATTGGAATCTAAATAAATGTTTATAAAATTTTTATGAAATTTCTCAAATTTTGTCCTAATAATAATATATAAAGTGTGTTTCTAAAGTAGTTTTCATATTTCTACATTAGTAAATATATAAGTAATTAATTGTGAATGTTAGCTTTTAAGWYAGATTTAAGAATTTTAACAAAAGCTYGACCGAAATTGTGAGCTCATTTTGAYTTGGTAGATGTTTTCATACTTTGGAGCGTGTTTGTACCGAAATCGCCCGTTTTTATAGATCATGGCAATCTCAACAAATGTTTATAATATTTTTATGAAATTTCTCATTTCTATTTCTCTCAAGTTTTGTGATAATAGTTACAAAGAATTTTTTCTAGTCAAAAATACAAGCATTTAAACACAATTTTTTTTTTTACAAAATTTTTTATTATATTGTAAAGTAATGAAAGAATAGCTCTCCCGCGTTTTTAAATTGAAGTCATTACGAGACAGAGTTAAAATATCATTTGTAATTCTCATAAAATTATATAAATTGTGATATTTGAAATAGTTTTTAATGGCAATTTTGCAAATCAAAAAATTGTAACTACTAATGTAGTTTCGAACAACAATAACCATCAATATTAGCAATTCATTCATAATGGCATAGTGACTAACTGAATTCTTTAACCTCATAATAAATTAATAAAAACAATCGCTCAACTGCGTTTCAATCGTTGTTTTTCTATTTCAATTAGAGTTTCGACAAATTATTGGTTGCCAGCTCTCATAAATGCGCTCCAATCGCTAATATAAGGCATCGTCTTTTTTTTCATCGTGGCCTGAGGAGGTATGGTTCGCCTTCTCACCTTAGCTCACCTTCAAACGGATGTTCTTTGGCCACCCAGAAGATACTTGGTCAAAGATCGGAAGTCGTGAGCTGTTTGAGCCATATGTAAAAGAATCGTTTCTGGCGACTCCCAAATGATTGGCGATCAGAGAACCCTCACTTGCGTGTACTTCTACACATGACAACCGAAGCTAAAATTTGTAAAGGGCAATGCTTAAGAAACCTATAACATATAACAATATTTGGAAGACACTTTATTCGGCCTTGAAATTTTTTTTTATAAAAATATATTCAAATATTACTGCAGTTTTTAATCTCAGAATCATCGCAAAGTTCGTTGTAATAAGCTCACAAGACCTTAATAATTTAAGACCCGTTTTTTCAATGTCTAGTTAGCAGCGACCTATTTGGTTAACTTAACCATAACTTAACTAACTGCGAGCCAGACAACGGTCCTAACTCTTCAATACTTCATTTGGTGCAACCAAAACATTTTCCAAAAGTACAATTAAAATTCAAGAATATGTTCTGTGTTTTAATTTCATTTAAATCAATTAATTTCAAACTCAATATTACATGCAATTTCCATGAGTTAAATTTTTCTTTGCGGAAATAATTTTCGCATTCTGTTTGTATATACTACTTCAGCATCAGAATAAATGTCTCATAAAATTAGACGAAAGTAATGCATAAAGCATATACATTTAAATAAACACATATAACGGGTGATCCAAGTAGGGGTACTTTACTGAGCGTTCGCAACACCTTTCCCCATCTTATGACCCAACATTCTTTATTGGATAATATTCGATCGAATAGCTGCTCGATCTTCCCAAGGACTCTTGAAAATTTCCAAGAAGATCAAATGTTTCCAAGCCAAATTTTGTTTAGTGATGAGGCCCGTTTCTGGGTCAATTTGTATGTATACATCCTGAAGAGATTCAAGAGCTGGTATTTCATTCAGAAAAAATAACTGGAATCATCGGTTCATATTTCGTCAAAAATGACGCCGGTGAGAACGTAACCGTCAATCGCGACATGATATCGACTCATTAATGCCTGAAATTGAAGCCCATGATCTCGGCGGCATTTGGTTTCCACAAGACGGTACCACTTCCCACACATCGCATCAGTCAATGAATTTAATGGTCACCAAGATAGTGTGATATCACAACGTTAGACTTTTTGGCGTATCCTAGAATGTTTTTTCGAATGATAATCAACGTTCCTCACTAAATTTGAAGTTTTATGTTTTTTTTTTTATTTAAAATGATGAAATGGATCACCCTTTAGTAGGTATCCATTATACATATATTTGATCATACAAGCCATAAACAAATACGTTCTGTTTATACCACATATAACACACATCTTATGCACGAAATACTCTGTGAATTCAAGCTTTCACATGCACAGTTCAGAATAAAATAATACACTCGATAGTTTGTTATTAGAATTCAGGATTGATCGCGCAGATCTGAATAAAGTTTAAAGTCATATATACACATTATTCAGAATGTGTTAAACAGAAATTGCAGGTAGCCATGAGAAACCCCCATGATTTGTGATCAAATATCATGACGAATGTTACCTATATAAAAAATGCTGAAATTAGAAAAGTTGTGACACGTACTCATTTCTCTATACATCTACTGTCTTGAAAAGGATTTGATAAAGCATTCTCAGCTTATAGAAAACCACCAAAGATGTAAAGATATTTAACATAACTTTGCAATCCAGGCGGGATTTGCACAAATGGATGGAAATCTCAAACCCGCAACTATAAACAATTGGAAATTTAACGCTATATAAAACACACGACTGTAGCAGTAAGATGATTTGTATGCAATTCTTTTCTATTTGCCAATCATCAGTTTCCACCTATAATTTTTATTAATTATTCAATATGCTCCATTATAGAATATGCACAGATCAAACAGTATTTCATACCTTGTAATCTTGCGATACTTTCAAGCATTCGTACGTACAGAAGACGTTTTTGTTTTTGAAACTAAAGCGTACGAATTAGCGATTGCAGGGGAATTTTATTTTGGGAGATAAACATTTAGCTCGAAACTACTTTCTTTTTAATATGTCGTATTGCACTCAATATTCAAACGTCGAGAAGAATGGATCGCAAAGTAGTGAGTATTTGTCGGGACTGCAATGAGTATTCGCTTTCCGCTTATGACACGCAGAACCCTTGTTTCGGCGAGTCCCACAAATATTGCACCAACTTGGAGAATCCACCGGAGCAATCCTGTAAAAATGTTATTTGGGTGTGTGAAAGTTTCTATCATTCAACCGCTGAAAGTGTTAATCATGAAAATAATGATTGCAAGTTCAAATCGAAATCACCAAATCAAATTGAAACAAGATACACCGATTTGCTCGACAAGACATATCTGGATTTGGCACAAAGAGGTGAGTTGCAACATACTATCCACACTTATTTTCAGTAAAAACTGATTTTTAATCTATTCTAATGTAATAGCTCACGGTCATCTCACTATATCCTTGCAAAAACAGAACCAACAATTTAATTCCAATTTTTAAGAATTAGGACTACAGATCTGTCTTCGAAGTAAAACATTAAGTTTCAATACAAATAAATATTTGGTTGTATGTAGTATCCGGCTTCATTGTACATATTAAAAGGGCATAACTATTAGAACCGGTCGATTTTTTTTTTATAAAATCGTGTGTGCGGGAAATGTTCTACGGATCATTCTGTACAACTTTTTCTAAGAAAATATGGTTCTAAAACAGTTTTGAGCCAGCAGTATTTAATGCGAACTTAAAAAACTTGAATAATCGCTTGTATGGGTTTATGATCCGCAACATAGTTGTCCGATCTAACCGATTCAGACAAATAATCAATAAAATGCCGAAATTCACGTACATATTCAATTTCATTGCAGTATCACAAAGACTGCTGAAAAAAATCTCTAATTCCAAAAAAATTCTCCTTAAAAATCGCGCTTTTATAGTCTCTTAAGCAAAGTTGTGCAGAATTCTACGGATCATTCTCACTAAGGACTCATTTCTTCTTGTCTACCTTCAAATCGACCCACTATAAAAATAATGATATGTCGAGTTTTGAGACTATAACTTTATTTTTGATTTTTGTCTCGTTCCAGCCACTGACGCCGAAGAAAACGGTTCAGCCACGCAACAGAAAGCAGCGCATGCATCCATGCTTAATCGGCGTATGGTCATCAATATTGCAGCTATAGCATTGTCAATAATATTAATCGGACTGCTGTTGTTCCCTGAAAGGACTGGATTTTTCAATGAAAACAAAGGGTCATTTCAAGTGATTCCAGTAAATGCAACCCTGGGTATTAACACAAACATACTACATACTAACACAAACAAATTGACAAAGTCATTGCCTCCGGTTGTAAACTTTTAGACTAACTGTCCGTTAATGTACGAAAATTCTTAAAACTGAGAATAATTTGCATACAATATACGAATAGGTCACATATGAACATATAATAGAAAAGTAATTATTCTCGGTATTTGAGTGGAAAGCTATGATTCCTATTCAAAGAAGTTTTTAAATAATTACAAATTAGCGCGCAATCGCAAGGAAGTCCTCTTCATAAAACAAATCTTCGAATTTCCAACCGTCTATGAACTCATCAATAAAAATATATTATAAAGAAAATAACTAATTGAATTTCCTAACACGATTTGTGTCTTTTTTTTGCAGCGGATGATAACGTGGGAGGGGGCAAGATATTGCGAATTGTTCCACGTGATGCCTGGTTAGCCCAGCCGCCTTCAAGTGATCCGTTAC